GGGGGGGGGGGGGGGGGTATACGACTCGGGAGATTCCAAAGACGATTCCCGCTATCCACGCGTTCGTGTCTCCGTTTTTTCAGATGATGGAATTTCAATGGGGAGAGGATGCCGAAAACAGCATCTGGAGGTGGTGAACGGGTTGGTGGGACAGGTGGGGACCTCTGTTGGTGGAGAACCTGGTGAACGGGAGCGGTTGTTGATTATGTGGAGAGTTGGAGATTGTTGACGGTTGGTAAAATGAATAATGTTTATAAAAATAATATTTATTTATTCAATTATTTAGTTATTCATTTAATTTATTTATTTATTCATTTATTTATTTATTCATTTATTCATTTATTTATTCATTTATTTATTCATTCATTTATTTATTTATTTATTCATTTATTTATTTAGGGGAGGATAGGGTAAAACCGACACTTTTGACTTTTTTGAAATATTCATGACGTATTGAATTGTTCATGAAATGGAATAATTTTATTTTTCGATTGAAAAACAATGGTTCCTCTTTGTGATGAGCTTAGACTGAGCTCAATTGATAAATCTGTTTCTGAGTTATGAATATTTTTGAAAAAGTCAAAAGTGTCCATTTTACCCTACCCTCCCCTATTTATTTATACAAAGAAACAATGGCCTAAGCCTATCAAAGACTTGACATTGTTATTAAATTAATGGTAAAAATTAATTAATTCCCAAATTAATTCCGTGAATTTATTGAAATTGAAATTTTATGGAGAGTTTAGTAGTCATTTTAAGTAGAACGACCTTTAATTAGGTTTACAGGTGAAAGAATTATGAAATTTCACTCACTTCCTCCAGGGCGACACATTAACATCGATCTTATTTTGATAATTCATTCCGTCATGGGTTTCTGGCGTTACAACACCGTTGGGAAATATCCGATAATTCTAGAGATCTCGGGGTATTATAACTGAACATTCCATGGAATTCTGAATATTTGACCAGCATGAAGAAAATCTCTAATTAATTCACAGATGAAAAGTATTTTCGCCTGAATTTTCCTGATTTTCACTGAATTTCGTGAAGCAATTGAACTGAAATTGCGAATTTTCTATGAAAAAATTACTGAACTGTCACGTGATAAACATGCTGAAGTGGTGTCACCTCACCCTCTCCCCATAATATTCGCTCTCAACACCTGTCGATACCCCATTAGCATTAGCACACTGGGCGCATTCTCTTCTAAAAATTAATGAGAAAACTCGCAAACATGATAATCTCTGGCAAACAAAGGAAAAAATCATCTCCACCTGATGTATCTCCCCCATAAATAATCCCTCGAAATTGGTTTCGTCTTGTTGAACCGTTTATGAGACAGGGAAAGTTACCGCAACACGTGTTCAACCCAACCGAACAATTCATTCGCAATTCATAAAAATCCGAAATCGCAGATGAAGCCACTTGCGGTGGGATCTTCAGCATAATTTATTCATTAATATTACACATCCGCCTACAATGGTACCTGTTTGATTTTCATTTGGATGACGTCGCAACGATGACACATAACTCTTCATGGCTTTTCACCTCGAGATTTCCCATCCACTCTCTATTTCAAACGGACGAATTTCTTGTTTTGCTTAATTTACGCAATGTTTACCGATACATCGCGAGGCAAATAATTTATGGTAGGCGACTACGATATGTGTATTTAGCACAATTTGCGGGTGCGGGAGCTTGATGTTTGGTTTGGAGAGAATTTTCGAATGAGAGATTATTAGTTTGACTTCCGCATTGGACACCTGTTGTTTGACGATTGATCAAAAATAATTTCGCGTAAAAATACAGATTTCCTTGAATAAAACTCTATTTAAAATTTTTCTAGTGATTTCAATAACGTTTTTACTTATTCATTCGGTCATAATTAATTTATTAATTAGTTCATCCATTCCGAATGTTCATGAATGCGTTCTCACCGTTTGAATTATTATGTAATTTCTAAAGAACTGAAGAAATTGAAATAAAATTTTTCATTTGAAATTCTTCTAGTCTCGTCGTCATTTCATTTTTTTAGACGTTAATAATTCATTTATTCTGAGTGAAGAATGATGAAGTGTTAGTGAACGTGATTTCAAATATTTATTTAATCCGAATGATCTCATTTTTTGGCGGCAAGAAATTCTACTGAAATTTCATTGCAAATTTCATTCACTTCCTGCGCTTTTTTGGAAATAGAAATATTTAATAGAAGATTTTTTAAAATCACAAATAAATCCGTGGGCTTTGAATTTTTCAGTAAGGGCAAAAACTGCAGTGAAAAAAACTTCAACAATTCATTCATTCGTTCAAAATCTATTGAATTTACATGTTGATTATCGACATTGGGGATTTTAAATGCTTAAATAAATAAATAAATAAGCGTTACGGAGTGAATTGGGCTGTCACGATGTCTGCGAATCCAGAATTTTCGCGGCTCAAAATAATGATGCATCACATTTATTGACATGAATTGACGTGAAAGTCCGTTAAGAACTTAAGTGCTCGCCCGAAATTTTTATTATGTCGATGTCCTGATGATTCCGTTCATCTCTGACCTTTATCGCACCAACTGACACGAAGAATATCAACGTTTACCCTCGAGCTAAAGTGATTCGTGATGTAATACCGTGTTTGGTGCACTTGAGGTATTTTACTCCGGGTTTTTCACATTTCTCAAATTTATAATGACTAATTGAGGAGTGGCTCGTGTTATTTCCAAAAAAATATAATTCATATGACGTTAATTCAAGGTTCTACCTATTTAAGCGGGACAATTACTGGTGATAATATATAACAGAGTACTTTGGTGCTACTCGAGTCGGCGATTAGCCTGAATGTTTCGAGCAACTGTTTTTGCCACCTGAATGCACTCGAAATTGAGTAATTGGGAACATATTTAGAAAGTGAATTTCAGGGGTGCATGAATGTGTATGAATGTTCAATTGAATTATTCCCTTACGTTGAATTCCACCTCCTTGTGGCCACAAAAGAATACATCAATCACGGATGTGAAACGTGAAGATCATTGTGCACCTCTTCGACAAATAATTCTAATTAAAATATCAATGTCTCCAATGACTCTATTTAGTCTCGCTTTTACCGTAATCTATTCACGAAACGAGTGAATTGCTTTAAAATACTGTATCGTATCGAATTCTCGATCCTTTTTGCTCGACGCAGCCTTATTCGACGTATGAGAGAATTTATTATTTGAAAAACCTAGTGCCTTCAGCAGAAAATTGTATTGGATTTTTATCAGATTTGTACTTTTTTTTAAAGAAGAATTCAACAGAAAAAATTAATAGATTTTGATTTTCAGGAAACTAATTTCCTGAAAATTCAGATAAACGAATTCTTCAATTTTCAATCGATTGAAATTTTAGCGCAATTTGTTAATGAATACTAATGTTCAATCAAAAATTCAAGTAATTTATCAATTTTCAGTGCATTCGAATTTCAGTTGGAATTTTTAATTCCTCAAGTGTTCGAATCGAATTCAATGTTACTCTCCTAAAATTGCTACTCGTTTTCCGTGACATTTCAATTCCTCGATCGCTTGAGATTGAGATTGTTTACATAAAATTCCTCTGCTTAAATTCCCAATGTTGTTCACTTTCATTTCATAACTAAAGAATACAAAGCAAATAAAAAACTGAAACATTTTCCACAGAAAAAATCTCAACAGAATAAATTAGATAAAAAAAACGCAAACATAATTTTTTTGTGTTGAATATTTCCTTCAACAAAAGGATTTCAACAAAAATCGAACCAAAGTGAATTAAAATTCAGTAAAACTTTCCCCCAAAGCGCTGGATTTTCCAATTAAAATTTTTACGTACATGTCACGAAGACATTAGCATTTCGAAATAATTCTCCAAACTCAATTGCAGAGTGCTGAAGACGATAATCAAAATCAAATCTCACGTGACCCTGGCGGTCGTCGACAATGGTTAATGCTAACGAGAGGCACGCGCGCATATTCAAAATCGTAGCTGTGCAAAATTGCCCGCGAGTCGGTGAGACGGCCAAGTAGCACTTGGGGGGTATGTAGACTCTAGAAAATGCTCGGTTTAGGTGGAATATAAAAAGTGTCCTGGGGCCTGTGGTAGGAGGTGGATTGGCCCTCTTTCTTCAACGTGTATACACTGAGCAAGCAAAGAGTCGGGTGAGTAAAGGGGGTACAATACCTATATAAAGAACGAATGAAGATGCTCTCAGCTATTCACTCTCACCTTTCTCAAGTAAGCGCTTATGCGCCTACATCCTGACAGGTTCAATTAAAAAGTGGTGGAGTTTTTTGTTAATTCACTCGAGTTTTTGGTGAAGCACTCAACGGATTCGTGGAGGTTCGTACCATTCCTTCAGTTCTCCCTCTAGTTTGTGGAAAACCAATCCAAATAATTCAATTAGAATCCGCTTAGAATTAATTCAGTAGCGAAGTGGTAAAACGGTTCAAGTCGACTCATCTCCCAGTTGAGTTTTTGAGGAATACTTCCGAATCTAAGGGAGATACCGAAATTTTTGTAATTACATTTGTTGTAGCTCTCAATCGGCTCTACAAAAAGGGTTATAATAAAAATGTTGTTATCTCCCTCAGATTCCGAGATATTCACTGAAAACTGGCCAATAGTCAAAATTGACTTGTACCGTTTTACCCATTCGCTACTGAATTTCACTACAATTTTTCAAATGAAAAAAGAACAGGTTTCACTCGAAGATAATCTTGCAAACATGAATACGAATGAACATAATGAAGAAAGAAAAAAGTTCCTCATTAAAATTTTGTGATCTCCCCTAGATGTAAAGATCCTCATCAAAGACTCGGAATTCATTTTTATAATTTAACGACTGCTCTACTGAGTTATTAGATCTAGTTGAATTGTTCCACAATTATATAACGAGTGATGTGCACTTCCCACGCTCTTACAGAATTGCCAGCGTCTCGAAAGATCTCTCAATCAAAATTGTTTTTGACAATTGTAATCCCCCAATTCACGCAATCCCATCCACTTTCTATTATTAGGTAAAAAGGTTAAATAGTTGGGGGGCGAGTGATCAATCAGCTAGCAATGGTAATTGGTGATAGTCGTCAGGTCAATAGGCAACAAGTTCCCGTGAATAGACGCGGTATTATGTTGACTTTCGCCATCTAATCCATCGGATGAATAAAAAATGATGAGTTGAATCTCCACGAGCGTCTCCATCGTCCCCAAGATCTCACCCGACTCCATTGAATATCATAATGCACGTATAATCGCAACATTTATGTCTGTCGAAAGCTCGTAATGAAAGTTATAAACAGTTTATTCATGCTGCATCGGCTGACCACATACCGACTCTATTCACTTTTATCGAATTTTTATTGAATGTCAAAACGCTTGGCAAAACTGCAGCGGGAAATTGCATGAGCACGGCGTTTTTGTCTGCAAAAACCAAATCTTCAACAGTATTGTGATTTAACGAGGCAATTAAATAACCAAAACGATGCACCTGACCATGGCCCAGCTTCGGTCCGCCGCGCAGATTCTGAAAGGTTGATTCGCATTTTCACGTTTTATTCCGTGATTTCTTGGGCTCTTCTTAAAGTGCGTACGCGGATTATCAGTGAGATTAAATTGTTGGGTAGGAGGTTGGAAAATAATACCGACCACAGTGATTTTCAGGTCATCCAAAGCGATTTTTCAAATCTGTTTTGCTGTGAAGAAATCATTCGTTGAAGAAATGACAATTCGTTTTTAAATAAATATCAATATAAGGTTAATACATTGTTAAATAATATTCATATCAATTTAAACTAGTTATTTTTATTCCTCTTGTTAAAGAAATAATAATATTTTCCATTTTATTGTAAACTAGAAAAATTAAAAAATTAAATAAAACATTAAATAGTAATAGTCATTTTTATTCTTTTTGTTACAAAAAATATCGTTAATTAAATTCGTCTTTTAATTGCTATTTTTCATTTTATTGCCATTAAAAATATTCATTTTTACATAAATATCAATTATAAAATTATTCCATTATTAATTAATATTCAAATTAATCTAAACTAGTTATTTTTCTTCCGTTCGTTAGCAAAATCAGTCTTCAAATTAGTCTAGAAACCACTGATTGAAGAAATAATAATATCGTCCATTTTATTGTCAATAAAAATATAAATTAGGAGTAGTTATTACAATAGTTTTATTCCCTCTGTTACAAAAAAATCGTTAATTAAATTAGTCTTCTCAGTGACTCAATAGACTCCCCTCAGTGTGAAATATAATTTATGAGAATGATTATGTGTATCAATGAATATTCACACACACAACGAGACAATCCCGGCGAAGTAGAATGAATAAACCTGAAGATTTATTCAAAGTAGTCTCGGCTCATGTGTCTGATTAGGCAACTCACTTCCGGACGTTAAATTCAGCCAAGTGAGAGCCTAATTACGCACACAAAGTGAGAAAATACCTACCATTTCGTCATGTCCTTGAACAAAAACAAACAGAAATAAAATAAAATAGACAATAAGGAAAACAGAAAGAAAGGAACGGAAAAGAAGAATTCACGCAAATCCGTGAAATTTTCATCTTGAAAAGTCAAGCTGTTTGTGGTGTCTCGAAGGTATACACAGGACATAATGCAAACCGTCTTGCCACATCTGAAATAGCCCCCGGGGGCGTGTACACCTAGCTGTGGTACAGATGAAGTTGCTCTCGGACCAACCGCAAATGAAACAAAATAAAAAACAACGGTGGAATAAAAAAAATTTATGTATTCTGCAGGGGGAGAAGTAAAAATTAAAAACGGACTTGAAGGCAATCGTTGCGCGGATGACAGCTTAAATATCACGAATTCGCACGATAATTATACCACGAAGCCGGGGTACAATGATACGATTATTAAGTCGAGATGATACAGCTCCCAAGCTCCCGCGAGGTTTTACGCAAAAATTCCCCCACCCCTGTTGAAAGACCAGTCGAGTCAGTGTTAATTGGCGGATAATTAGACAGCGACAAGTAACTATCCGCCATTGTAAAACCCGGTGTATTATATATTTTCCTTCTCTGGTAGATAAGTTTCAATGTTTTCTCAATACCAGGGGTTTTCACTATTTGGTAAGAAATATTATTGGCGCACATTTTGAATGCATTAATTCCTCAGTAACTACGACCTTTTGGACAAGTCTGTCCAGACGAGACATTCAACATTCTCAAAATGGATGACAGTGGAAAGACAAAAATTTTTATGACAAATTGAAATCAAGGGTTGACCCTTGAAATCTAGTAATCGTGTAGTTTTTATGAAGGCATTGGTAATAAAACGCAAAAATTCTAGTGAAAATGACAGTTTTTAACAGAATTTTTAGTAAAATTCAGACAGCAACACGTGCGGAAAAATTTCATAGAAAAAACTGGCGAATTCGCAGGAAAATTCTACCGAATTTGTATTGAAATTTCTATCAATTTTTAACCGATTCTATTGGAAAATTCAGTACCTTATCTGTGCGACTAATAAAAAATATTATTTACAAAAAAGCAATAGAATGCGATTTTTCTATACAACTTATTCTCCAGAGATATTTTATACAGAAACTCCTCGGCTCTAATTTAAAAAATTTTTTTAAATAAAAATAGAGGAAAAAAATCTAGAAAATTCAGTGAAGTTGCAGAATTCTTTAATAGCATCTTCTAAAAGCCGACAGAATTTCCAATAGAAGTTCACTATAAACCGAATTGTCAACCGATGTCCCCAGGTTTTTCTATGCAATTTTTCTAGCGCGCCCTCAATTATGAAACCTGTCAAATGATATATTTTCCCCCCGACACATAAATGTCCATGTTTTCCCAATACCCCTTAAATCCTCGCTATTTGGTAAGACCCATCACCGGCGAATGATCTCGGCAAAGGTCAAAGAAATCACTATTCTTCATAATTATCATTTTCGTCAGTAATAATTCCAAGACATTGCACGACCCATTACTCAATTCATTAGCATGCCCCCGCTGATTGGGCGCACAACGTTAAAAATCCTGAAATTGAATCATAATTGAATGAATAATTCGTTGATTACAAAATTGCAGGAACCCCTTAAATTACCCAATTACCCGCGAATTAATTTCCAATAATTACCCCGAACAGTAACCGCAGAAATTTTAATTAAAACCTCACATTACCCCGGGCCCACTCCCTCCCCAACAATCACAGGCGTCCGATCTCCCCAGAGATCTCGAAATCGGTAAATTTCTATCCACAATATTATCCACAAATTTTTTTCCCATCAATTCTCCTTTATATCCACCATCCTCAATTTTTCGCCAAGAGAATCGAGGCACATGTATTCAAGATCGTGCCATCAAGATGAGTATACACGAATGAGACTTTCACCTTTCACCTCTACTCCATGTACATCCACAGGAGATTATTCGCACGACTCCTCCGCACTCGAGGTCTTTCATCTCCCTCTGTCGCACGGTATCTGATCATTCTGATGAATAAAAAAAAGTCGATTGAATAATAGCTGAAACTGTGCACCATGTATCGTCAATAGTGAAAAGCTCATGACCGGGATATCGGATACAAGGTCACAGCGACAGGAAAGTTAACATCTAATCTCGTGACAGTGAAAGTTCACTATTTATTCTACCCTTATTCCCTCAGACCGTCGCCTATTCCAGTGTAATAATAATTCTCTGCACTAAACACCTCCAACAAAGCCCAGTACACATTACAATTGCATAATGACGTTTATGCATTTTTCACTTGATCCTCGGTTTTTCTCAATTCTTCATTCGCCGTAAAAACGAGAGAATTTACTCAAGGATGGAGTATCCTCTGTTCATTCATTTCACAATGGGTAATGCTCGCTTTCTACTTTCTCAATGATCATCATCTCCGATGATCGATAGTTACCCACGTGAAATATTGTGTAATTTTATCGTCATTATGCCTCCAACATTTCGTATGTGTTTATATTTTATTCACGTCTCTCTCTAGTTTAATCAGAAACAAGGATGAGGTGCAACGCAGCACTTCTGTGTACCGCAGTGATCGCCCTCTCGGGTTTCGCACACACACGCGAATATGGTGAGTTCAATTTGAATAATAAAACTGTTTAACTGTGTTAAACTTATGCGATAATGGTATCCCTGGAGTGTTATTTTTTTCCCAGGTTCTTGGGCTCATTATTGCGAGACGACACAAAAGATCAGAGTTCCATCTTTCGTTGAGTAATTTAGGGAAACGCGTGGTGTTGAAGAAAAGTATTAATTGTCATTGTCGTGACATTAACGAATATCGGGAGTTGATTTATTACTGACAATTTAGCGGCCTTTGGTGAAATTCAGGCCCGTTTGACCCGAGGTTTCCGAACATTTTGTATTGTTCTTGAGTGATTGATTTTACTACTGCAATTTTGAAGGACTAAATTTGATTCGTGATTATAATTTGTTATTAAACATTTGAAACAACTGGTAATAATAGAATGAAGCTGATTATCGTTGGTATTTTCAATTTGAATAAAGCCTCCACGCAGAGAAATGTTCAGTAAAAATTACGGAACTCTCACTTCACTCACCGATTACGGAATCGACTCAGAAAATTTAAGTGACGGTATCGTAATTTTTCACAAGAGATTCAGATAAAAATTACGGAACGCTCCGGAAAAATTCCGTGACAGTTCCGTAAAATTTCCTACAACCACATTTCGCTCCGGAATTACGGAAAAGATACGTAATTTTTATTGAATATTTCTCTCCGTGTCGTTTAACGTATGCTGTGCGTGCTAAGCAGCCCCTCGCGAACGTCGTGACAAAAAATATGATTCGTCACTGTGTAGAAAAAAAACTTTCTTGCGAATGTGTATGCAGAACTCGCTTCGGAATTTTCTTTGCCACAGTGACAAAAAATACTATAAATTTATGCCACAATAGTATCCCTGGAGCGTTATTTCTGGCCCAGGTTCTTCGGTTCATTATTGCTAGATGACACAAAAGATCAAAGTTCTATTTTCCATTGAGTAATTTAGGGAAACGCGTGCACGGAGAGAAATTTTCTAGAAAAATTCTAGTACGAGTACTGGAAAAAATCACAATCCACCGGCTGTGAAAAATTCTAGTGCTGTTAAGGTAAAATTTCTTGGTATTTCTGGTAAAATTTCTGGGGATTTCTGTGAAACTTTCACAGAAATACAGGGAAAAATTCACGTTTTCCCCAATAAAATTTCTAGTGCCGGCACTGGAATTTTTTCCTGGCCGTCACTTTGCGCCTCTTTTCCCGTGCTAGCACTAGAATTTTTCTAAAAAATTTCTCTCCGTGTGGTGTTGAAGAAAAGTATTAATTGTCGCTGTCGTGACATTAACGAATATCGAGAATTGATTTATTACTGAATGTAATTTAAATAACAGTGATAATCCATGAATTAATTCAGACTGTTTTCACGTAATTAAATTAACATCAATTGCATTAACAAATTCAATGATATAATGATTCAACTGAAATAATAAAATCATCCATGCATCCACTTATGCTACCATAGTATCTCTATAATAATTTTCCTTCTCCCCCCCTTAATGAATCTCAGAATATGATTAATGACTCAAAACACAGAAATGAGCCTGGCGAACCCAACTGAAAATGATTAACCGATTTTCTCGCCAGAGCGGACGAGACTCGTGGGGTCACCAGACACTCCATCTGACATAATGGCCCGCAACATCCTCGATTGGATCCAGGGTATTTATCGTCAGGGCGCCCGCAAAAGTGAGTCTGCCGAGCATTATTCAATCAACTCATTCATGCACACCATTACAGACGCACCTAATTTACATCTGACTTGACACTCGTCACTTCCCCCCCAGAAAATTCAGACTAGAAACAGTCTAGATTTGTCTCACAAGTGAAAGTGTAAATTAGCAGTAATTAACGATGTAAAATTGGTTGGAACAGCAAGACAGGAGAGTAATGGGTACTTGCCGCCTTATGGCAGTCAGCGGCCCCCGGAGAAGCCGAGGCCATTCCAGCCAGCGCCAACGGGTGAGCCATCGCCGTCACCAGGACTGAACGAGGTCACTGGTTACCCGAGTTTCCAGCCGTCATTCGGCTCGACGGCGAGGCCCACGTACATTCCCCCGTCGTCATCTGGGTTCACCCCCTCAGGGGGGTACCCTAGCAGTCCACCCAGACCCTTCGGAGGTTCAACCGGTGCTACTGGACCCTCTGGACCACCTGGGGGATACCCTGGAACGTCGACGACTTATTTACCACCGTCGACGTCCTACGGATACCCCTCGACTTCTGGATATCCATCGTCAACACCATCTCCAAGCTTTCCGACACCCTCACCCGGGGGGTATCCCTCGCCTAGTGGAGGGACTGATTCGTATGGATATCCTTCTCCAAGTCCCTTTCCAGGATTTCCCACGCCAACTGGCCCTGGAGGAACTCCGGGCGGAACTCCTGGCGGAACTCCGGGTGGAACTCCAGGAAGACCTGGCGGAACTCCGGGTGGGACTCCAGGAAGACCTGGAGGAACTCCAGGAAGACCTGGCTCACCTGGTGTGAGTCCCACTCAGCCACCGGGAACTCCGGGTTCCACTCCCCCCTCGGGAACTCCAGCGCCTTCACCCGATGACGATGATTTGAAGCATCCCCCCCACATTCACGAACTCCAGGTCGAGTGTAGCAAGACCATGATGACGATAAATATAGAGTTCAACAGGCAGTTCGATGGAGTTATCTATTCCAAGGGATTTTATGGATCCCCCGAGTGTCGTTACGTGGCTGAGAACTCGGGACAGACCAAGTACAGTTTCACGGTCAGTTTGGACTCGTGCGGAACCGAGTTCATCAATGATTTTGAGGGGGAGGCGGGGCAGTCGTACCTGGAGAATGTTCTTGTTCTCCAGAATGAGCCGGGGATTCAGGAGGTCTGGGATACCGTCAGGAGGGTGCGTTGTCTGTGGGAGGGGAACATCAAGAAGCCTTTGACGGTGAGTTTGTCGGTGGATATGTTGAATCAGGAGATTGTGACGTTCAGCGGTGACACGGCCACTGCGAAACTGGATATTCAGGTGGGGAAGGGGCCGTTCGCACCTGCGGCCAGTGGGCTTGTCAAGATTGGGGAGCCTATGACTCTTGTGGTTTCTGTGGAGGGAGATCCGGCGTTCGATCTTCAGGTCAGGGACTGCGTGGCGAGGGACGAGGACTCCACGAATGTCGTGCAGTTGACCGACGAGAGGGGGTGCATACTGAAGCCGAAGCTGTTCGGGGCCTTCCAGAAGACGAAGGAGACTATGAACACCGGGGCTTCTATCATTGCTTATGCCTTCTTCCAGGCTTTCAAGTTCCCGGATGTTATGGATCTCTTTATTGAGTGCAATGTGGAGCTTTGCAAAACCGATTGCGAGGCCTGTCCAGAAGCTAATCAGGTAATTATGGGGGAGACTGCTAGATATTTTTTTTAGGGAGTTTGATCTCGATGTTTGCATTTTCTCCGCGAGGCAATTGGAACTTTAGGGCGGGTTCTGTATCTAAATGTAATAGAAATGTATGGAATGAAGAGGGTATTCGGCCGGTGGCTTGGCCCAGTGGGTAAGGTGCCTCACATGCGAAAGGTTACGAGTTCAAAACCCGACTGGGTAGAATGGTGAGATGTAACCATTTAAAGTCTTGATCATCGTCGCTGCATAACTCAACTGGGTCGAAGCGATGTAAAATAGGGAAATTTCGGGACAGAGGCAATCTGATATCTGGGAATGGGAAAACTGTGAACAACTTACGTGAATAAGTTTGGTCACGAATATTTAATGTTCAATTGAGCAGAATTTTCAATTAATTTGCGTTGAAGAATTTATCTTTTCTACTGATTTTCTAATTCGAAATGTAATTTTAGTGGAAATTTCTAATAGTGAACGCGGTTTAATAATTTTGGCTGAAATCTCCAGTACACTTCTTGGAAATTTCAATTGCATTATAGTTCCACAGAAATTCCGAAGAAGTTCGTCATCGAAAATTTATTATTGTATGAAAAAATGAATGAAAACTGTGAATTTCGGTGGAACCCATGCGAATGACTGTAAGGTTTCAGTTAATTGAAAATTCTGGGTAATTCCCTACTGAATATTCGCATTTTGAGTGAAATTTCCCAATTTCACGAAATTCCAATTTTTTTCTAAAAAAAAGAACTCATAAACTGATTAATCTCTTCTTTTTCTCCGCAGCAACTCGAACCAGGTAGAAGACGAAGAGACATCTCCTACGCCCCCTCAAACATATCATCAGGTGCCCTGTCACAACCACTGAGAATGTCCCGTGGATTCCGTGTGATAATGCCCGACGATTTGTCCCTGGCGTCGAGTCAATCCCTGGAAAGTCTGGAAGAAACAGCGATTGCAGAATTGACTCTCGAGCAGAGTATCTGCATGAGCTACGCAGGCTTCTACACCTCCTTCTCCATCATCCTCTCCGTCCTCGCCGTCACCACCTCGAGTGCTGCAGTCATGTACCTCAAGCTCCAGAAAATATCGCGGGAGAAAAACCCCGATTACCCCCTAGGGGTTCATTGAAATTCACCAACAAAATTCGATCTTAGTTGAGTAATTAGAGTAATCGAGACAATCATCATTCAGAACCTGTTGAGAATGCCATTGACACTCGTGTGTTCAATTAGCTGGCTTGCACCATTCGCTTGAAATAAATTTCTCCCACTTTTTCATGTGCCTAAACAACTCCTTTATGCCCATATATAGTTTATTTCTTTTTCTTAGATAATGTACAAAATAACATGATGTTTCTCTTATTTTATAATTTTGATAAAACGAAGAAAAGCCTCAGATTTTTCATTTACATATCATTTCCATTATACGTTATAGATATCATAACTCCATCGTAACGTCAACGTGAAAATGGAAATAAATAATCTGTGAAAAATTATGTACAATAAACAGAGAAGGATGAAAATTCAAAAATAGAATATCTGTGTGTTCACTATTGGGAATGACTATTATTGAAAAGATTAGAATTACGAACATTTAAATGCACATGGGAAAAGTCAGTAGTGAAGTGTTAAAACGAAATGAGTTAATTTCACTTTGCAATCGGTTCGGGAGGATTTTCAGATATTTTCGTATACGACATACGTGTTCTAGTCATGCTATACACGGTGTCCCATTTTAAACAGTACGGCTTAATATCTCTCGTAGGAAATAATACAGAAAAAAATTAACGCTGAAAAAATGCCATTCAATCTTCGAAGATTCCCCAGAAATTCAGAATTCCTTGAAAACCCATTTTGTGATGGAAAATAATTTTACTGAGCCATGATGAGTTTTCACTCAGAAAATAATTTTTCTGAAGCTATTCATGAAAAATTCCCCTCAACTACTGACTCACCCCTTCTAACGAATCCCTAAAAAAATATTCTACATCATCACTGTTTTGAATTCTTAACAAATCTAAGAACATACAAGTGCTCTCCACGCACCCTTCTCTCGCCAGCCACACCTCCACCCATGCCAAGCCCCTGAAAAATACCTATGATATCACTGGGCTTGTTCTCCTCGATAACAACCAAATAAAAGATCCCCCGACTGGACAATAGCTTCGGTACCAACGGAAACAATCGATCCATGACCTCCCGCCCATCCCTCCCCCCAGCCCACGTCTTGCTGATGAGTCTCTCATCAGAAATCTCACAAGAATCAGTTACAACGTACGGTGGATTAAATATCAATATATCGATTAAATGATTAGCCTTCAGTGACGATACCAAATCCATTCGAAGGACATCTACACTCGTTGAATTTATAATACTCGTATTCTTAGTAACTCTGCAAGCGTCTGGATTAATATCAACAGCGATAAATAAACCGGGCCAGTTATTTCGTTTGAATGCCATTGCCAGGGCTGTTATGATAACTCCAGAGCCACTGCCAATCTCCAAGCAGACATTTGGCTTCACCTTATCAAAATCATTCAGATCCGCCTCCAAACTGTCTAGCAGTAGAAACGAGTCCTCTGAGGGCTCGTAAACAGTTTCCGAGTCGAGATCAGACAGTTTGACTATTGGAGTTTCCATTTTTCAAATGATATTCGAATGATTCAATCTGTTCTCTGATTTTTTTTCTTTGGGAAAGAGGAGTTACTCTGCTGGATCGGTTTCTGAAGGCCCAGGGGTAGTTTCTTCAGCCTCCGGAAGGTCCTGAGAGCTTCGGGAGGTGCTGTACATGGGACTGTGGTCCAGCAGGGCTTTTCTCTTTGCTGTGTCCTTCTCCACTGCGTCGTGCACCTTGTTCAATCGTTCCTGGGTGGTTTGGAGAATGTTGCTGACTACTGTCACTCGTTGCTTGGCGTTCACCAGCTTCTTCACGTAACTGTCGAGCTCGAAGGGACACTGCAGGTACTCGGAGATCTTCACGAGCTCCTCGGTCAACGACTCGATCTGCTGCTTCAGCTCTATCTGACTTATTCTGGAAAATTTGAGCAGTTTGGGTGTTAGTGGTAACAGGGAGCAATATGTCAGGTAAACTTCTGGGGTATTTTCATCACGTGATGGTTACATTTAAATTTCAGGGGATTTCATCATTAAAAAATTACAATTTGATGAAGAAATTAATGAAAACTGTGAATATGAGTTCATTAATTTTATAAGGATTGATAAACATTTGAAAATTTAAGATATTTGGAGGATTCTTGTCTTTCTGAATTTCTTTACTCAAGAATTTAGAATTTCTTTGAATTTAAGTAATGGAAATGTACTTATTCATAGAAAAAAATATGAATGGATTCGTTATGACTTTGATGAAGGAATTAATGAAAACTGTGAAGATGAGTTTGTTAATTCCATAAGAATTGAACAAAAAATCAGCTTTCTACTACTCAAGAATTTAGAATTTCATTGAATTTAAGTAAGAGAAATTTACTTATTCATAAAAAATGTGAATGAATTTGTTATGGCTGTGAAAAAAAAATCATTTATAAACGATTATATGACAGTCATCATAAGAAATTTCAATTTTCTACCAATCTCTTGGCCTTTGGATTTAAATGATAAAATCATTGTGGAATGTTCGGCGAATTAAGCAGGATTTCAGCGAAAATCGCATCGTCATATTATACATGTGATTTCAATAAAATTCTAAGCGATGGTCAAGAAATTTCAACCAAAATCAAAATTACAGATTATTTAAACGATAAGCTTGAATGGGGATTGGACTACACTGAGAAAAAAATTTATTCCTTCCAAGAAAATGTTATTGGTGATATCTTTTTCATATTCTTAGTAGAAGAAAATATCTCTTTTGGAACGTATTTCTCCAGGCCAGTTATTTCCAGGTGCTCCGAAATCAGTTCCAAGCGTGAGAATTATGGTGATCTATAAGAATATTCTTCTGCATATGACCTCGAAGAAACTCCAATAACAATTATTAACATTTGGAATTATTCCAATTTTCTTTACCTGAGAAAATCGCCAATTTGTAAAATCCGGAAGATATCGGAGAACATTTTGTCAAGGTCATATGTAGCATAATAATCAGATTGTTCAATATCACTGTAATGTTTGAGGATAGACTTGGACTCTCTGAAAATGACTGTCCTGGAAAAATTCGTTCTGAAAAAATATTATCTTCTGACGAGAATATCAATCCTCGACAGGAATAATTTTTTCTCTCAGTGTATGTAGATATGTCTACAACGTTAATAGCAAGAGATCAAGAAATGGGTGAATCGCCAATAAGTCGAAGAAATGGAGTATTTTCAGTCTAAATTATACTGGACACAAAGAGGACTCAAGTATTAAATAATGGAGTACGAATAAAATTGTTGAAATTAGGGGTGATCAAGAGGGGTTGATTATTTCCAAGGGAGGGTGGGAATAAGGTCCTCACCTCGTCGCTCGAATGCGCTCGTCCAGCTGATCGACTGTCGGCTTGAGCAGGCTCATGAGACCCTCTGTCAAGGCATCTCGAGTCGGGTTCTCACAGAAATCCTCGGTTTTGTCGTCGATTGAAGTGTTGTCACTGGCAGTGTCAACATCCATTATTGGAGGCTGTCGTGCGGTTAACCTTACACGAGCAGGACAAACCCTCGGAGCATGGAATTTTAAAATCAATCGTGCCGTGTGGTAGAGGGTAATGTTGATGGAAAACTGCGCACTGCGCACGGGCGTATTTGTCGAGGAGTTGAGGGTTCTATCGGGAGAGGCAGTAGCATCTCGGGGAAACGACGCAGGCGCGGGAGAATCTCGTGGGATTGGACGGGCAGGTGTGGGGCTGATTTCAAATTGAGACCTCTTCCGACATGCGGAAGAAATGTTATGCCCCAAAATAATGCTGTGATATTGAGTAGGGGAGGTTGGGGTAAAATGGACACTTTTCACATTTTTAAATATTAGTGACGGGTTAGGACATTTCTTTTCCTTTGCGATGAGCCTAAACTGAGCTCTATTTATATATTTGTTTCTGAGTTATGAATAATTTTAAGAGTCTAAAGTGCACGGAGAGAAATATTCAATAAAAATTATGTATCTTTTCCGTAATTCCGGAGCGAAATGTGATTGTAGGAAATTTTACGAAACTGTCACAGAATTTTTGCAGAGCGTTCCGTTATTTTTATCTGAATCTCCTGTGATAAATTATGATAGCGTCACTTAAATTTTCTGAGTCGATTCCGTAATCGGTGGGTGAATTGTGAGTTCCGTAATTTTTACTGAATATTTCTCTGCGTCTGCCCATTTTACCCTCGCCGCGCCGTCTGAATTTAAGTAAATTCAAGTGAATTAATTTTATTTTTCAATTTAATTAATAATTTCGAGTAAATTCAATTCGGACGGAGCGTCGTCAGTACATGCCATCTCTTATAGACGCAACGTATTTTAATGCGAGAAAGTCCCCTGAATATTATTCCGGAATTGGGGATAAAATATTCCGAATTTCGGCCGGTAGTAATGCTTTATTAAATGAGCCAGGCTTTCTTGTTGAGATAAATGATTGACTTTATTAATCCGCGTTCGAATGGAATTAATTGGTTGACGCCTACGTCTGGCGCGGCCTGATGTTTCTCCCGACGTGTAGGAGTTGAGAATGAAAATAATTCAAGCAAAATGTAATACTAATCACTCACGCTATTTATCAACAACTGAATTTATCACAAATCTCAAATATTCCACTTGTTCTTAAAACACGTTAGATTTTTCAATGAAATTTTTTTCCGCGTGAATCCATCGATTCATTAAAGGAAACTTGTTGGTCAGGGACATGAAATAATAACCATCATTTCCACAAACGATTCATACAATAATTTTATTTTGCTTCGATTCTTAATTGTTGTTTTTTTTCATCGTTTATCACTATACATTTACAGAACATGGGCTTTTATGATAAAATGGTATTCAAATGCAACATTCCAAGGATTGTTAAATTAACCACATATTGATTCTTAATCTTGCTTTCACTGGAATGGGGAGTTGCATCCGGAGGACCTAAACCCTGAAAGTTTCTCATTAGTCCAAGGTGTTGATCTCACCCCTTATAATCCTCCCTAACAATTTTATACGCTCATTACTTGGGTCTGCTCATATAAATCACAACTCGCGAATTACAATTATCAAACGTAAGTACATTTGTCGCTGGAATGAATGGGATATCTTCATCATGAGTCAACGGAAATGGTGATGCGGGTACTTGTACATTCAGATAATCGATAAATTTATTTATAGAGGGATTCTCGAGTTGTTGGATTGTTTTTATCATTTGCGAACTGTTGTACTTCTTCTCAACAAGGGGTAGTTACTTAATTTGTGCCATGACTCAAGTCTCCGGAGGAATTCTCATCCGAAAGATCGAGTAAAATAAATTATCGCAGGACAGAGGACTAATTTCCCAATTTATTTTCAACTTCGCGGAGGGACAATACATCACTTGATTCACTAGAAAAATGAATACTGGAAGAAGTTGACTTATGCGAATGATAAAAATGTACATTATCCCAGGTGTTCACCCGGATCTATCAGAATTATTGATGCACAATCGCTAAAGCGTCGGTATAATTAATCTGATAAAAATAAACATGCAAATACAACAGAAATAAAGATGCTCTCTCACTCTGATAACGAAATATATATTGACTTTGCAACATTATCCTCAATTACATATACGATTCCGTCGCACTTATCTACATATATCTCCAATAATTCGTAACAAATAAAAAAATAACGGGATTAAGGTAGAAATTCATGAGGACACACGATAGATTGATTCTCTTACATTTTCATTTCTCGTCAGTGACGTTTAAATTTGCGCTTTTTAGACATAGGCTGCACGACGTAACACTAACGTAATAAGTGATATAGACACAGCACTTCACTCGGGGACAATTACTTACTATCGCATTTTAATTTGTCATTTGCACTCGAAATCAAAACATTGAAGAAAATCTCTAGTCGAATTAGAGGACTCTGGGATAGTCAACGGAATCTAGTTATTCGGGAAGGATTTCTACGATTTGAGATATTAAAAAATTGACTATTTATTTTATTTCGAGTGCAACTCGACGAGCTGGTTTCACAGATGAGAGAGATATGCATTTATGAAGGGTAGACACTCGCTGGTATGTTAGCTCGTTATTTCGTACAATAAGTATCTAGGTCTTTCAGCTACTTGAGCCCTCGTCTAGAAAAACAATTTATGAAAAAACAAATGATCCACTAATTACCTCATCCTCTAACAAAAAACTAAACAATTCAGCTTACACTTTACACTGTATATATAATATATATTTTAATAATTGTTATCATCTCGTTTTATTAATCATCTTTTCTTCATTAAATGAACTAGACAACGATATCAGACTATGTGTCGTCGCACGGATTTAACCTGGCACTGTATGACAATTTTTTTTTTGTTGCTTTAGGCTCTGAAAAGAATAACATACACTGGTTTCATTTTATTTGCAAAGATGCTGAGACAAATAAATTGTTTAATAGAGCTGAAAGGCCACTCAATACCATTTCAAATGTTCGTAGAAGAATAGAGCATGATGCGTGAAAAATTTAGTTTTTCTTTGACTTCTTGTTATACTGCACTTTTGTTGATTATTTCCATCACCGTCAGGAGCGTTGTTAGGAGAAAATTCAGCGATATAAAAATAGTTTGCGGACACTAAGTTACAGTCCTTTTCAGAGCGTAAAGAGGACTTAATTATTCAGGCGAAATGCACAATCGCATCGCGATCGTGATTTTATTTTTCTTGCAAATTTTTTTTCTCCTTTCTTGTGTTGTGGACACAATAAAGAAGGCGTGACATTCACATTACTAAAAGACCTTACTGCATCCACAGCTCTGTGTGTACTTTATTCATCATTTTAATCATGATTGATTCGTTAATTACTCAACTTGTTCACGAGTATATTGAAAACAGATACGCTCTACGGTTTATCGTCTTCTTTCGCTTTTAAAATTTATCCCTCAGTTTTCATAATTTTTTTTTGTCTTTTATATTTTCTTTAATTACTCATTGCGCAGAAAAAATCACGTAAATTTGAATGCAATTTTTGCTCACCTCTCGTTCTGATTATTTCCGGGTTTTCCGTGGAAATGAAGGATGAATTTTTCACTGTCTGTTCAATTGAAAAATCACAGCATTTTAGCTTTGCAACGTTGCACGCGGAGGAAAGAAAGTTAACAGTAAAAAATATGATATTTTTAGATTCCCCTTGTATTCATTAACGTTGCTAAGGTGCGGAAGGTATTTCTCATACTCCCGGGATTAATCTTTTCCAGTTTTAATTATCATTTTATCGAAGTTCGAGGAACTCCGGACTTTCTCGAAAGGCAGAGAGACGAGTCTCTATTCCCAAAGACACGTGTCCCATTTTCACAATTAATTGAATCATTAATTTGCACTAGAAAAATTACTGTCTTTTTGGACTTTCGTGTCCTCAAATTTAAATGATTTGGAAGTCGAGATTGGTCACCTCGTGAGGGACACGCCGCAGTGCAATTGCCTAGCTAACCAGAATAGTCGAAAAAAAATTCTTTTTTACACGGAGAAAAATACTCAGTAAAAATTACGGAACAATTCACGTAATCCGCAGTGGGGAATCGTTTTCCGGCAATTTTTATAGGAATGGAAGAGAAGAAATCTGAAACGTTCAGTGAATTTTCAGGTTCATCACCGAACAAAGTACGAAATTGTCACGTAATTTTTCCCGAAGAAGTAAAATCTCACAGAAACTCGCCGATGTATTATGCCTCCTAAATCAAAAATTCTTGAACGTTCAACAATTTTTCCGAAGCTGGTGAGTTATTTCTACGTTCCGTTCCGTAAAATTTCTCGGTCTTTGGGGAAAAATTACGGAACGACTTGTTCCCACAGCGGTGAGTCATCAGACGGGTGGTTAATTTTTACGGAGCAAATCGTAGAATTTACGTGGCGATTCGTACAATTTCACTTCCGACTCACACTTTTTATTGAATTTTACTTCGCTCGCGGATTACGTTTCTGTGCTGGCAATTGTTATTGAATTTTTCTCTCCGTGTAATTGAAGTGTTTAAAAATTTATACTAGTTTTAGAACAACACAATTTCCGCTGTTCCAAACAAAAAATTATTTCCAGCGAATGAATTATTGCATTTTGTGTCGAAAGTCTCAAATTAAACCGCCCTGAAGACACTAGTTTTTCCAGCGCATCAATTCGTAAACTTAGGTAACATACTAGTTATTATTTCTCGCGACTCAGGTACCACATCGGTCAGCTATTCAATTTCAAATTCAATGAATTTACCTCAACCTCTCTTCAAATGAGCGTATTTTTAACCTGCGCAATGCAAAGAGCGCAACAACATTTTTTGTCATTTATTTAAACTTTAATTGTTTTCATTATTTATTAATTTTCTCATTTGTTTTGTAACATCGAACATAGTTAAACCACTTGCCTCACTATTTTGTTTTCCACTAATCGCGTTTTATTTATTCGTTTCACCTGACTGTTAGCCGTACCTTGATATACAATCACGATATAAATATTAATCCTAAATTCTAGATATTCCCATGTCCCCTCTTTGTTCTTTCACTTTGTAATACTATTCTCAAGCGGCATCCGCGCGGTCCAGTGTCCCCCCCCCCAAAACGTCGTGAAACACCTAAAGTAATGGAATTGAACGTAATTTTTGTCATTTCTAATGCCTGCAATCTCCGATAATTATTCCTCGAATAAAGTGACAATCAACGAGCAGATGCTGCAACGTTCTGTCGAAGGGGCTGGACCAGCGCATCTGGATAATGGTGTATGTACAGACTACAACATACAAATAGTATCTAGTGTTCATTTTTCATTTTGTGCTACGCAATAATCATTACAATATATATAATTATGTATAACCATTTATCTTAACTTTAATCGTGTTTAATATTAAAGACTATTTTTCACGTCTCATTTTTTCATCTCGTCATTTTTCTTCTTTTATGCACTAGACTCTTTCTATGCTATATTTTGCACATTAGTTAAACCTTCTTTAATTGGTTTTATGTGGTATTCAGCGATACAGTAGACAGTGGGAGACTCTGCTGCAGTTAAAACCTAATAACTCATCGAAATTTAATTTCACAACATTCGTCGTGGCTTTTTTAGTTTGGTTTTCCTTCTTGAATCGAGGACAGTACGTCTGCTCCACTAGTTTTTCTGACTTTCTGTTCTTTTTATTTGGCATTGGGTTTTGTAATTTTGGTGAATTGTCGCAGTGAGGATATCCGAGTTCTTTGGACATTTTTTCGTCATTGAATTTTTTTTTCCAGTTGTAATTGAACATCAGAACATCAGAAACATTTAAAATTATGATCATTTTTCATGGATAATTTTTAAAGAATTAGGGCAGGGTGGGGCTAAATGAATCATGGGGCAAAATGAAACAGCCGTAAAACAACTATTTGACGCAATTCAAGCAAAAAAAAATTTTTTATCAACATTTGTCTATTAACTTTTTTTATTATTGATTACAATTCGCAAAATCAATTCAATTGATTACAATTCAAATGATTAGATTGGGCAAATTAAAATTTTTTTTTCGTTCCATTGAAATTCGATATCACATCCCAATCCCAGATTTTCCTTTTTCCCAATCTGGGTCTCCCCCTGGGCTATCCTCTAGGCTTTCGATTTTGTTGTTTCATTTTCTTTTCAATTAATCCATTGACAACATCTTCTCCCGTCGAAACATCTCAATAATTATAATAATTATTCTAATCAGTACTTCCAATAATAAAAAAAAAAACTAATAAAAAAAATAATTGATAAAAAAATTGAATTGTGTCGTCTTTTCGACTGTTTGATTTTTCCCCACTCTCCCCTCAATGAATAAATTATTGATTATTATTATTGACGAATTAACGACTTAAAAAAAATAATTTCGAAAGTTTGATCCATTCCAATTATATATTTCCGGGGAATGTTCAGGAAATATTAATTTTTCCCCAAATTGAGAATTAATTTTACTCTTTTTCCCTACCAAATTGTAAAAAGAACTTGGATATCCTTAAACAAAGGATTACTCATTAAAATTTATCGGATTTATCCCCGGGCATTTAACTATCATGATTGCAATCGCAATTTCGTAATATTTCGTGAGCTTACGAAATCGGCCAACGATCAATTAAAATTCAACACGTTTCAGCTACGCCTGCGTAAACGATAGAATAACTTGTTGATTTGTTAAATTGGATTAAGCTGGCATTTTTACGATGGCTCTTCACTAGCCGTTGAAACGATGAAATTGATGTTGACACAAATTTCGAGTGGTAATTTTCACTTTTGGAATTTTCAGGAAGGGACAAAACGTTACTACGTTTTATTGTTAACAACAGCAGACTACTGAGTACAATATAATTAATACTATTTCCACGCTCTTCCCTCAATCATTTTTTTCATTAGTGCATGGATAAGGTACACCGATCACAATTTTATTTGAAATTCATTTCCCCCAAAAAGTGTCTCACACGTTCTCCTTTTTTTGTATTTTTTTTTTCATTTTTATATATTTTTTGTTTCAATACAAAAGTTCCGTCAAAAATATTCTTTCCTTTATCGATTGCTATATTAATAATCAAAAAGATTCACTTACGAGCCAGTTTGACATCATGTTTCGTCTCGACACACACCAGTGAAACTGTTAACTCAGGATAATTGTACGTTGAGTGTCATTAATTGCTGATTGATGTTAGTATTTTGAGACTGACAATTGATAGTTGAATTAATCGAGTGCACAGCAATAGTTGTAGATACTTCGAGAGATTTATTTCTGCGGTTACACGAGCGACCGAGCTGCGAGAAACGCCGGATCGTGACGGAGAGTCACTAGACGCGAGGAGTTGCATGTTCACAGATCTCTGTATTGATTATTTCGCAATTTTATTCGAGACAGTCATTGGCTGCGACAACTTCCATAAAAAATAGGTGAGAAGGAAGCGCAGAGTTGCGTCAAGTTTTAAATTGACACTTTGTGAACTCAGGATTACGTCCTTCATGTTTTTTCCATCCCGCGAGAGAAATTTAACATTCGAAAGGGGGAAAATAAGTCTAGTAAGCTGCGATGACAGGTGAATGTCACTTTGCAAATGACGCAACTGCCATTCATCACTGCGAAAGGAGAAATCAAGCGCAAGAGAACACGAAAATAATCGAAGAAACCGAAATTAATGCGCAGAGTTTCGAGAAATTCACCAGTTACTCAACTCCAATCGAATTTCCGCAAGACTCCCATCTAAAATCGTAAAAATTTCTTAACTCTTTTTACACTCGCAATGCAAATCAACATATTACGTCACTATTCAATTTATATCGTTTCACTGAACGACAAAATTCTCATATTTAAGGGGAAAAAATCCTACGATTAGAAAAATTTTCTTATCTCGAAAACGGATCTGCGGGCAAGATTTTCTTTCTTCCCATTTTTCTCATTCAACTCCAGCCAATTCTGGGGCGTCTGAAATTCCCGTCGAAGTTATATAAAGGTTCACGGGTATCCGAGAGACATATCGCGGATAATTTTCCTCCTCGGAAACGCTTGGGGCGCTCTGTCGGGTAACCAACGTGTAATTGAATTTTTTTCTCGTGTAATCCTTCATGTAAAAACTCCACGCTCGAAATACTTTTTTTTTCCACCAATTTCCTCATTTTTCATTCGTGTGCGTGCGCTATTTACAAACACCGGACGGCCATTTGCGTCGCTCGAGGGTGGGTGGGAGGGAGAGGGGGAGAAAATTATTTTTCATTTGCAATGTTAAAAAATTTTCAGAGGTGTTTCATGGATTTTCCTCACTCTTCTTCGCCTCCCTCATCTCCCGCTTTCGCCTTTTTATCTTCTTGATGAGCCTCACCACCAAGTTACCCTCGGCCTTGATGGCCGGCAATTTTTCAGGCGTTTTATCTGGTTTCGTAGCATCATCATCATCCCTCCACTTGCGTTTACGTGTGACTGGTGAACAATGACCAACGCCACTACGAACTACACGAACCACAGACGCCGCTGATACTGTTGGGAAGTTGTAAGTTGTTGTTGTTACATTTGAAAAACGCTTGCCCGTGATCCCTCGCCTCTCCTACTCAGGCTTCAGACGATGCCACTGTACAATTGTTTGTCTTGGCTTTGTGATCATGTCCTGCCAGTGCTTCGTCTCACTGGCACCACTTCCATTTTTACCTGGAATTTAAAATGACATTTTTACGGGAGATCAACGGAGAAATTGTTCGAAACTACAAATGTTGGTTTCGATTTAACGAGTGGGAAACTGCTTTCGTCACAACATAGTCAATATATTTTTGCATAAATTAGCTATTTGCATACGAGTGGAATTTTTATGACGATGTTTTTTAAATGGAATTTAATGATTCATTGAATTCAATTCATTGCCCCGACGTTAAAATTTTTGACGTGGATACGTCTATGGTTTCAATATGGGGGAAGCTTTTGGGAAACGGTCCTTATGTGCAGCGCTATCTATAGGAATTCTAGAAAATTCTAGACATTTAGAGGAGTTTCTAGAAAATTCGAGGAAATTCAGGGAGTTTCTAGGACATTCGGGAGAATTCAAGGAGTTTCTAGGAAATTCGGGGGAATGCAAGGAGTTTCTAGGACATTCGAGGGAATGCAAGGAGTTTCTAGGACATTCGAGAGAATTCAAGGGGTTTCTAGAGAATTCGAGAGAATTCAAGGAGTTTCTAGGAAATTCGGGGGAATGCAAGGAGTTTCTAGGAAATTCGGGGGAATGCAAGGAGTTTCTAGGACATTCGAGAGAATTCAAGGGGTTTCTAGAGAATTCGAGAGAATTCAAGGAGTTTCTAGGAAATTCGGGGGAATGCAAGGAGTTTCTAGGAAATTCGGGGGAATGCAAGGAGTTTCTAGGACATTCGAGAGAATTCAAGGGGTTTCTAGAGAATTCGAGAGAATTCAAGGAGTTTCTAGGAAATTCGGGGGAATGCAAGGAGTTTCTAGGAAATTCGGGGGAATGCAAGGAGTTTCTAGGACATTCGAGAGAATTCAAGGGGTTTCTAGAGAATTCGAGAGAATTCAAGGAGTTTCTAGGAAATTCGGGGGAATGCAAGGAGTTTCTAGGAAATTCGGGGGAATGCAAGGAGTTTCTAGGACATTCGAGAGAATTCAAGGGGTTTCTAGAGAATTCGAGAGAATTCAAGGAGTTTCTAGGAAATTCGGGGGAATGCAAGGAGTTTCTAGGAAATTCGGGGGAATGCAAGGAGTTTCTAGGACATTCGAGAGAATTCAAGGGGTTTCTAGAGAATTCGAGAGAATTCAAGGAGTTTCTAGGAAATTCGGGGGAATGCAAGGAGTTTCTAGGACATTCGAGAGAATTCAAGGGGTTTCTAGAGAATTCGAGAGAATTCAAGGAGTTTCTAGGAAATTCGGGGGAATGCAAGGAGTTTCTAGGACATTCAAGGAAATTCAGGAAGTTTCTAGAAAATTCGAGGAAATTCAAAGAATTTCTAGGAAATTCGGGGGAATGCAAGGAGTTTCTAGGAAATTCGGGGGAATGCAAGGAGTTTCTAGGAAATCCGAGGGAGTTCAAGGAGTTTCTAGGACATTCAAGGAAATTCAAGGGGTTTCTAGAAAATTCGAGAGAATTCAAGGGGTTTCTAGGAAATTCAGGGGAATGCAAGGAGTTTCTAAGAAATTCGATGCAAAATGTAACAATTCGTTGTCTTCGAAATGCTCAAGAGATTGAAATTCCATTTCAATTCGAGAAAAGATGAATGGGTTTGATGACAAACTTACTGACTTTCAGTAATACTAATAATTGGAAATAAATTCTTGATTTTAAATAAATAAATTCCTGAAGACTGATACTTGGAAATCAATTCCTGAAACCAGTGACACGTCAAAGGGGTTAATTACAGAGTTGAATAAGAGTCCTACCTGCTAACTGTATACGACCAATGAGCTCGTTGCGTCCAATATTATCGAAATCCATGACCATGACATCGAGCGAGCACTCCCTGATCTTTTCCCAGGGTACGTTAAATGAGAATGCCTCATTGAACACTGGATTCAGGGTGCACTTGAATATCGGTGTCTTTCGTTTCTCGATCCTCTTGTCACCGAACTGCAGCCACACCTTCACATAGGGATCTGGGGGAGAAATAATTTCATTCACCGAATAATCACATCAATTTCCTCTCTCATATTAAAATTTAATTAACGTCCCTTTGCCCTTCACGTCTCGGGTATCATTCATTAAACTGTTCTCCACACTTTTTTCAAAACTCAATTCATGCAGACCGATATTTTAATTGAATTCCATTGACTTTAGCAAGAATGAAATTTAATTAAAACTCACCGACAGCTAAAACGCGGTTTCAGTTTATTTACTCACCTGATTTTCCATTTATGTCTTTAGCCTTGAGATTTCTGGCTTTTAGCAGGGTCAATGTGAGAACTGAATTGCTCGGATGATAGCAGAGTGAGCACAGTAGTTCACCACATTTATCTTTCGCGGGTGGTTTAAGGGCCTTCCAGAACGACGGCTTCTCGGAGAGATCGACCTGTCCGACAAACCCACACATAATATGAACAGACGAAACCACTGTGACCCCGTAAAACTCATCGAAGTGAGAGACAGTGGAACATAAAATTGGGAAAATAATCCTCCAGTGAACTTTGTATTCAGTAAAGATCGTTTTCCTCGATTCAAGTTTTACGACTGTCCTGAGCGATCGTTTAAGGGGAATTAAGAGTGAATATTCGGCGAGAGTTTAATTGGAATTTGAGTATCAAAGGGAGGGACGACATTACCTGACAGAGGGGTAGGAACATTTCTCCGATGGAGTCGTCTCTCGAGAATCGATCGTAGTCGAATACGTGGAGATGCAGCACTCGGCTCTGTAATTTTTGGATTGGGAATCCTGAAATTTATGGAATTTTGGTATTATTGCAGCAGTAATAATGAAGGATTGTGAGAGTGAATATTGTAGATATCAATTCAATGATGATGAAGAAATTAATTCAGAGAAAGAGTGGAGTATCTGTTTTCACTTAATGAACATATTTATTGGATAACAATAAATGGTGCTTTAATCACGATTTTATCGAGAAAAATTCATCAGCAGTTGAGGATATTCAACTTAACTTGAGGTTTATATCGGTCACATTATGGATTTATAAATTTTTGAATGATGAAATTAGCAGAAAAATTGGGAGAAATGAAAATTTTCGGACACACGATTTTCAGCGTGAAAATTATTTATTTAGAAATATCCAGCCGTGAAAAATAATCCCTGAAAAAAGCAAAGAAACAAAAATGTTGAGGCAAATCCATGTAAAAAATAGAAACTCTCATAATAAATTTATAAATTTATGAATGATGAAATTAGCAGAAAAATCGGGAGAAATGAAAATATTCGAACACACGACCTTCAGCCTGAAAATGATTTATTTAGAATTATCCAGTGGTAAAAAAAAATTCCTGAAACAAGCAAAGAAACAAAAAATGTTGAGGCTTTCAGCAGAATTGGCTGTGAATTATAAATGCCCCCTACACCATCGCCCGAATCTGCACCCATTAAAAAATCCATTACAATGCCCACGGAAATCAACAATTCCCCTAATTCATATTCCAACGAATTCGAGCTGAAGGGTTGAAACAATACTGGACTCTAAAAAATTCAACAACGTTTAATTCCCGCGGAATTAACTGAGTTAATCTGGATTTTGTGCACAGCAAAACGGATTCATTCGAGATCTCCTTGTCCGGGGCTTCCGGATGGGTTGAAAAATCCCACACAAATACACATGGTACCTGGTGAAAGATCAAAGTTGCCTTCTCTCACGGGTCTGAATATTTCATAGCCCGGTGACCTTGTGATTCGCCTATTTCGAGGAGACCTCTTTGCAGATAGAGCATCTTGGATAGATGAGAAGTGCATAGAACTCGTTTCCCCCCTCCACCTTGTTATTTTTATCCTCGAGAGGAGATACCGGAGCTATTTGCTGGGGGTCTTTGAGTCATGATGACGACGGGAACCGTGAAAGCGACAGCCAAAAAACTTTCGGGTATTCTCATTGAGGATCGGGGGGTTGTGATGCTTCTTATTTCTGGATGTATTGAAATAATAAACGGGAGGGGTGGAGAGCGCTTAGGTATTCCGCTTGGCGAACACCCGTGATGCAAAAAATCGAGGGGATGTTATGCATGACAAGTGAGTCTGGTCCTCTGACGGGTCAACTCATTTTCCTGGGATGTCTAGAATGGAGAATATTCCTGCGAACGCGGAATATAACTCATGTATTCTTTATTTTGTATGCATTATTTTGTTTAAAAAATTGGAGATTGACGGAATGTCTAGTTATTGTTTTCAGGGAAATGGAATTTTATTTGATTTAGGGAGAAAAAAATTACGAAATTTTAAATTTCATGTTGAATTCAAGTGAATTCAAATAGTTTTGGGTAGACATAAGACAGGGAGTCGTCAGTGTAATGGAATTATGAGTTAAATTTAATTATTTGTAGCAAAATAGTGAGTTTTTTCCTCTGACGGGTCAACTCATTTTCCTCGGATGTCTAGAATGGAGAATATTGTTGCGAACCCGGAATATAACTCATGTATTCTTTATTTTGTATGCATTATTTTGTTTAAAAAATTGGAGATTGACGGAATGTCTAGTTATTGTTTTCAGGGAAATGGAATTTTATTTGATTTAGGGAGAAAAAAATTACGAAATTTTAAATTTCATGTTGAATTCAAGTGAATTCAAATAGTTTTGGGTAGACATAAGACAGGGAGTCGTTAGTGTAATGGAATTATGAGTTAAATTTAATTATTTGTAGCAAAATAGTGAGTTTTTTCCTCTGACGGGTCAACTCATTTTCCTCGGATGTCTAGAATGGAGAATATTGTTGCGAACCCGGAATATAACTCATGTATTCTTTATTTTGTATGCATTATTTTGTTTAAAAAATTGGAGATTGACGGAATGTCTAGTTATTGTTTTCAGGGAAATGGAATTTTATTTGATTTAGGGAGAAAAAAATTACGGAATTTTAAATTTCATGTTGAATTCAAGTGAATTCAAATAGTTTTGGGTAGACATAAGACAGGGAGTCGTTAGTGTAATGGAATTATGAGTTAAATTTAATTATTTGTAGCAAAATAGTGAGTTTTTTCCTCTGACGGGTTAACTCATTTTCCTCGGATGTCTAGAATGGAGAATATTGTTGCGAATCCGGAGTATAACTCATGTGTTCTTTATTTTGTATGCATTATTTTATTTAAAAAATTGGAGATTGACGGAATGTCCAGTTATTGTTTTCAGGGAAATTGAATTTTATTTGATTTAGGGAGAAAAAAATTACGAAATTTTAAGTTTCAGGTTGAATTCAAGTGAATTCAAATAGTTTTGGGTCGACATAAGACAGGGAGTCGTCAGTTTAATGGAATTATGAGTTAAATTTAATTATTTCCAGCAAAATAGTGAGTTTTTTCCTCTGACGGGTCAACTCATTTTCCTCGGATGTCTAGAATGGAGAATATTGATGCGAATACGGAATATAACGCATGTGTTCTTTATTTTGTATGGATTATTTTGTTTAAAAAATTATAGATTGAGGGAATGTCCAGTTGTTGTTTTTAGGGGAATGGAATTTTATTCCGTTTAGGGAGAACAAAATTCCGAAATTTCAAGTTTCAGATTGAATTTAAGTGAATCCAAATGATTTTTAATAAAAATAAGACAGGGAGCAGACAATTTGATGGAACTATCAATTAAATATCAGTATTTGTAGCAAAATAGTGAGTTCGTTCCTCTGACTATCCAGTTGTTAGTTACAACTGACTAAAGTCCAGTTGTAATTTTCAAAGGAATAGAATTTTATTCGATTCATTCTACTAACAACTCATCAAATTTCAAGTGTCGGGTCAATTTTATGTGAATTCAAATGGTTTTTAGAAAAAATAAAATAGGGAGTCCTCAACTTCATTGAATTTTCAGTTAAACATGAGTATTCCGTACCAAAATGGTCTGAATTTTCTGGTAACTAAAAAGTCATAAATATATTCCTGTACTTTCCAGTATTCCCAACGTTAGAGGTAATATTTTTCATTCAGAGATCGCTATTTCTCAGTGTAATAAAAAAGTCAGAAGTGTTCGCCGTTAACCGTTATTGTCGAAGACAATGAAAATGAAAAAGCGAAAAGAGGACGGAAAAACAGAAGATTGAGAAGATGAAGATGATGAGAAAATTCTTATTTACTCAACCCGAAGGGGTTTTAAGGAGCGTATCGAAGGAGTACGTAACGAGATTTCAAGAAAAGTATTGATAGCGAACGAGATGATAAAACAATGAGAAATGGAATGCTTTCATGGGTTTAACTCGCCCCTATGATCATTAATCTTCATGCATCCTTGGGAGCAACGAAAGTAGAGCGTAAGAAATCAACAGATTCGATTTGATTTCCGTTTCGCATCGATTGCTGTTGATAATGGTCCGTGAATAGCCACAAATTATTCAAAGTCACTGGCAACATCTTTGTGGGTAAAAATAGAGAGGAAAAAATAGACAGAATCCCCGGAGCTCTAGTTCCTCCATTCCCCCTACATTTCATTAATAATTCACGAAATCCCACAGGAAATTTGGGAGATGTAAGCACTGAATTTCACTTCATCTGATTCAGGCGTCGACTCATTAATCTCCAACCCGACATTTTGCTAATGAAGAAAAAGAGGAGAGTAAAAAAAATATCTGAGCAGACTGTTTCTTGCGACGAATTCGGTGAAAATAAAAAAAAATAATATCTGAGATTTCATCGACCGAAGACAATAATGACTGCTGGATTCCTCAAATAATTCGAAGATGGGGGAAATGTCTGGCGAGGGAGACAAAAAAAGGCCAGCGTGAAACAAGAAATCCTCCGATTCAGCTTGAATACAGAGAACACGAGAGCTTTTGGTTCTTCTGTAGAGAACACGATAGAAAGAATGGAACAAAAGGGGAGGATCGATGAAAAAAAGACGGGTAACGAGAGCATCGAAATTGCAACGCAGGATGGGAGGAGGGAAAAATACATAGTATTGAAAAATCTGGAGAACAAAGAATGCCAGCAATTACGGGTATTGTGAAGGGGAGTGTAGTAGAGTCGAGTAAAAAGAATGAGACAAGTGAGAAGAGCCCGGGCGTGAAAGGGGTGCAGCCAGCGGTCGATTCGAGGTCTTGGTAATGAGGAATATCGACACGGGTGGAAGGCAATGAAACTCAGAAACCAAAAATGAGACTTAATAGGATGTTGCAGATAGAGGGTGGAGGGGGGGGGGAGGAACAGCTGTCANAGGGTGGGGGGGGGGGGGGAGGAACAGCTGTCAGGGGACATTGTGGTCTCAATTCGAAGGAGAATGGAAATTCTATTCGCACATTTTTATTGGGAATTATAACATTTAGTTTTGAGATTGAAATTAGGTCGTTGTCTGGGGCTTTAATTTTGTGAAGAGATAATGAAACAGAATTTGAAGAGTCGTGAAATTGAAGAGAGACTGGGTCTTTATATTAGAAAAAAATTAAAAGAAGTTGAGTGAAGATAAGCAAGGAGGAACAGCTGATTGTCATTTCGGTCTTAATTAGAAGGCAAATGAGAATTCCATTCAAACATTTTCGGTACAAATTAGGGAATTGAATGTTATGAATCAAAGTGAAGTTGTTTCTTCATAAACATTTTTATTAGAAATCATAATTCTTAATTCGTGGGGGTTTAATTTGGAGACAGTGGAACTCAGAAATCAAAGGATGAGGATTAAAAAATTTTAACGAACGTATTTTACTGGAATTGCGTCGTTAGAGGGAGAGAAGGTAGAAAGAGGGAAATAAAAATACGCAGGGAAGAACATCTGGTTCTTTTTTTCATTCTCATTAGAAGGTAAATGAGAATTCCATTTCGAAAAATTTATTTATAGCTCTCCTGTGTGGGAATAATGAGAGTTGAAGATGGAGGAACTCAGAAATCAAAGGATGAGGATTAAAATAATGTAACGAACGCATTTTACTGGAATCGTTATTAGAGGGAGAGGAAATAAAAATAAGCAGAGAACATCTGCTTCCCTTTTTATTATAATTAAAAGGTAAATGAGAATTTAATTCCCAAAAAATAATCTTCAAGCGAATGAATAAATGAATTTTAGCTCTCAAAAGCAGACATTTGCAATAGTTGTCCTGTACTGATAGAAAGGATTAGTTATTGTTAAGGCATGGATTTGGTTGGAGACGAGGGTCTATTCGGTCTCACCAAATGTTCATTCGTTAATAGTTAACAAGTGCCTGAGGAGGAGCCTTGTTTGACTCGATTTTCACTTCTCAAGTGAACCATTCGTTAACTATTAAAGTAGCTCTACCCTTACGGTAAATTCAAAGAGTATTGACAACTGCAAGAAAAATTGCAGAAAACTCGATCAGATTCGGAATTTCAATTTTTTCTCAATTTAATTATCGTTTTGGTTTTTCAAAGAAGAAATGTTTAAAAATCAGGATTTAACCCAGTGTCTTATGTGAAAATCAACATTTCCATTGTAATCAAAGATTAAAATCTGAATTTTTTTTCATTGGATGTGAAAAAGTCAAGAATTTTTTTGACACCTCATAAAAAATAATCCACCATTTTGCAAACAAGTTTTATTATCCATTTATAAGAGGGAAATGTTCGAAAAAATATCAATATTTTGCGAAATTTAATTTAGATAATACTGACTGGGTATCAATTTTTTCAAATTTTTTCCATGTAATTTAGTTGAAAAATTAAAAAACTGGAAATATCAAAAAGTACAGCGTAGCCCGGCCGAAGGGTAGAGCTACTTTAACAAATCAGTAGCGAAGTGGTCAACCGTTCAAGTCGATTTTAACTACTCATGAGTTTTCAATGAATATCTCGTAATCTAAGATAGATAGCAAAATTTCTGTTATGACCTTTTCGGTAGAGCACATTAAGACCTTCAAAAAATATATGTACGAAAATTTCGCTATCTCCCTTAGATTTTGAGATATTCCTCGAAAACTCAGTTAAGAGCTAAGTCGACTTAAACCGTTTGACCACTTCGCTACTGAAATATTCACTTGGTCATATTCAACTCTACCATTCGTTAATAGTTAACGAATTTCGTTTGGAATAAATGGATCAGTCCATCAGTGTGTGTCGGAAGAGTAATAGTTTCGAAATAATGGAATAATTGATAATAGTTGGAAAGTGAGGCATTGCATTTCTGAAACTAGGGAAGACAATGAGAAATCGAGAGCCATGTGCCTCAAACTACGACGGGAATCCCGTAATTCCCAGGTAAGGGGTAGAAAACCCGAGGCTGAGGTTGAATGCGCACTGGATCGCGTTTGGGTTCGGGTTTCGTGTGTATCAGGAATTGCTGGGGATGATGGGGAGGGAGAGAAGAGCCTTTGTCTGGGTGGATGAGAGCAGTCGTCAGGTTAGTAAGCGTGACGATGGAGATAATGGCTGTGGTGTTGAAGTGGATGAGGATGAGGGAAGTGGTGAAGGGACAGCGGAATGAGGGCATGAGGGTCACGAAAATAAGACGCTGAGGAATTCCCGGGCGATCTAGCGCTCGAAATGACGAAAATACGAGGGTTGGGGGTGAGTAATGACGAGGAGCTCTGGATTTATTTCAGACGGTTTTTTGGGATGAGAAAATTTGTTAGTTTAATTAATTGGAGGGGAGTTTTGCGTCGAGCGATCACTGGTTGAGACTGGTGACAAGAAGAACTGGTATTTTATGGGCAGTTTAGGGGCAATTTTCGGGAGAACAATGGTTCATGCGATTTAGCAGGGGAAAATGAGGAAATTTATCGTTTTGCAGAACATTCGGGGGAATTATGAATTTCTGGGAAACAGGAAGACGAGAATTTTATAAACTTGCTTGGGTTTTCAAGCGAAACGTGAATATTTACGATCAAATTGCGCTGAATTAAACATTATTTTTATAATTGTCGGATTTTCATTAAGTAATTGAACTAAAATTTATAGTTTGTATTAATTTTTTCAGCAAATTGTGAATTTTTCATAACGAAGATGTCAACTTTCTGTTATTTTTAGTTGAAAAAATTTAATGAAGAGAAGAGTTGCTATTCATGAATATATTTACCTGAAATTTCCTGGTTTCTATTAATTTTCATCGAATAATTGAATAGAAATTTACACCTTCCACTATTTTTTCCCTCAAATCGTGAATTTTCAATGTCCAAATTCGTTGAAATTTCAATGAAACTGTCATAGAAAAAAAATTTCCGAGAAATGAATAAAAATTACTAAAAAAATTCGACCGTGTTGATGCCACTATAATTTTTATTTAAATGCATAAGACACTTCCCCTGCACATGCAAGGCAGATTTTTCTTAATTGACCAAAGCGGAAAAAAAATTTAATTTGTATGTAAAACAGATCTCTCGGTTCATGGAGGGAGCTGAAGAATATTCCGTAGGAGAAAGTAAGGGAGCAACAAATTTCCCTGCGCGTTGTATTCCAAGGATAGAAAGGAACTGATTTGTCACAACTCTAAAATTTTTTGAAATGTCTGTCCCTCGAGAGACGATCCATCCATTAGAGATGAATTGTCCTGCAGGGGGGAATGATATAGATAAATTTTCAGAGTTGTATGGAAAATAATGAAACTGTCATGTCATGAATCCAATTTCTTTTTGAATTTTTATCACTTGGGGGGAATTCAATTCTCATTACATTGATGTACAAATTGAAGGGAACTCCCGGGAACGAACGGGGGAGCAACTGAGGGAAGATGGTGTTGGAGTGAGTGTTTTTCAGGTGAAAAAGGAGAGTTCATTAAGGCGAAGTGAATACTAAACAAAGGCTGGGAGATTGGATGGATCTGTTGGTTTCTGGCTTGAGGAGGGAATCGAGGAGAGGGCGAGTCAAGTAGCCCCGCTGGACCGGTAAATGAAACGCGAAACAGCGAAGCCATTATCCACCAATTATTTTCTATTATTTCGTGCAGTTAGTCACTGGAGGGCAACCGGTAAGTACTCAGTGGGGTCTTGAATTATTTGAGAATGTCCTCAGAATTAGAGCGTCAAATTCATCACGAGGAAAGTGGTATTCTCCAGCGAAATGAAGGTGTATTTTTTTTGTGAAGGATGAAATGATTCCATCAATGATGAAATAAAAAATAGTGGTTACGTATTTTTCTATTTTTTTAAATTATGAAACATTTAGTATATAGTTGCCAATTTACATGCCGAGGGTTTTTAAAAATCCAATTTTCATAATGTTCATCGAATAAAATGGCGGAATACGATAATTAAATGAAAAATATTAGTCACGTATTTGTTTATTTTCAAAAATTATAAAAAACCAAGTCTACAGTTCTGAATTTTCCACGATTTATTAAATTATTATAAAAATAATACACGTGTAGACTTTTTTATTCAATTTTCATATTCAGCAATAAAAAAATTGCGTGCAAAATCTGAAGTTCCAATTCGAACGTAGTATATTTAATTTTTTTTCTGTATTTATTCCTATGACTACATCTCAGGGCTAAAATTCCCGTTTTTTGAACAATGAAAGCTAAATTGCTCATCGAATAAAATGTTGGAATACAATAATTAGATGAAAAATATTAGTCACGTATTTTTTTATTTTCAAAAATGATAAAAACCCAAATGGCGAATTTGAATTATTATTTAAAAAATACAACACACAAAAAATACAATTGCATGCAAAATCCAAATTCACAATTCGAAATAAAATAAACCAGAGCTTGTATATTTTCCCCGATAAAAGTCACGTAGCGTTTTTTTTCTGTATTTATGTCTATGACTATATTGCAAGGATAAAATGCCCATTTGTCGAACAATGGACGCTAAATTGTCGCGATTGGCTCTCGATTCTAGTCCAGCTACAAAACACAGAGGTTTAGATCGATGGCTGGCATCCAGAATAGTTTCGCAACAATTTTTATTCCATCCAAATAAAGATAAAGCGGTGGCTTTGCAGTGAAAGCTCACCAAGTGGACTTTTAATCCCCTCAAACGGAAAACATTTCTTTCGCTCGTTCTGTCCGAAAGAGAAATTGCCCGGATTATTTCAGCGGCTAGTTATAATTGGGGCATTCTTCATCATCTTCGGGCCACCCGAGTGCTCCTCGTTTACTTCAAAACGGACTCGCCCGAGTGTGAAAGTAACAATATTATTGCTCACCACGTTTCACGTTATCTTACCTTCGAAGTAGAGGGTCTCATTCCACCTTGGATTCAGAGTTCTCCTTTTGATTTTAGTCTCGAGACGATGCTTCTTGTCGGGCAGTAGTGTGACCCTCACGTACGGATCGGACGTGCCTGAAAGGTCCTTTGCTGGTAGATCTTTACCCTGGAAAGTGAAGATTTCATGTACGTTACAACAATTTCATATAATGACGTCAATTACAAAGTTTTGATCATTCGAGGGGATTGGAATGATTATTTGGGTGAATGTTTTTTGAATGTGAATGTGAATGTGTTTTTGAGTGTTCTAACCGATTAATGACTTTAGAAAAAATTATTGTTTCGTCGGAATTGAATTTTTTCTCTTTAAAGAATAATGGAATATTCATGAATGATATTTTGAAACACACAGAAAAAATTAAACGTACATTACACCCGATCATTCCAGAAAATGCCGAAAGTTTTTTTAAATTCATCTTTTATTTCTCATTTGTAATTATTTTCCTCAAGATCTTGACTTTCTTGATTTAATGACTTTGGCTTTTCATTTATTTGTTTTTCTATTTATTTATTTTCTTGGATATTCCTTGGAGATTCCATGATTCTTCGAAGGAACGGAAATGTCTAATAATATAAATAATGAAGATTTCAGGGGAAAAGGGGGAGAAAACTTCTAAAATTTCAAGTTTCAACTGAAAATTCAAGTGAATCCACGAATTTCAAGTGGAAATTAGAAAAAAAAATTCCAACCTATTTCAATTTTCCACATTTCCACGAATAATCGAAATGAAATATCCAATTTCCATCGTTTCAACTCCAGAGAAAAGTCACTGGTTAAAAATTTCAGAGATGTGCATGCGAAAAAAATGCGACCAGTTTGAATGATTTCCCTTTTTTATTGTCAAAGCAATTTATCAAATAAAAAAAAATTGGAGATAAAAATGCATTTCGGATGATACGGGTAGCACATGTGGTGCCTTCCAGAGCCATTTCAAACTGTCCAAACAGTGCACAGTTGTGTTGGATCAGGCTGTGGTTAACGAGCTGTCAACAGTTTCGTTGGAATTTATGCGTTTGTTTACACGGAAAGAAAATCCCACGAGTTCATAGATCCTCTGATATTTTTCCCACTCATATATCTGCCCAACTTCGCTCCTCCCATCCCTGAGACCACCCACATGTCCAACTTTCCACCAAATCCGTTATCCCGAAGCTCAGTTGCGCCCTAGTTATCCAGTTTTCGGACGCGAGGCATTTCGTTTTCTTGGTGGAACGCAGCATTTCTTTACAGATACCCCAAAGTTGAACAATTTTCGTGTCTCACAGACATTCTCATCTTACCCAGCAACAAACTCATATTTCAGCACTCGATATTGCCCTCCAGCGTTTTGGGGAAGTGGAAAAAAAAGATATAAGTCAGACCATTTCTCGAGTTTTCATTCTCCTTGGTTTTAGAACTTGTTTTCAGCTCTGAAAATTCATTTCTCGTTCAATTAAATGCTACCAACCGGGAAAATAACTTCTTTCAATGGAGCGGGAGGTCTTTCTTACGGGGGAAACAATTCATTAGTATTTTCCCGTCGAGTGAAATTGCGAGGGGGAAATGACGTTGATAGAATAGCCAAAGATTGAGGGAAATAATTGTCAGGGAATGAGTAGATGCGATTTTTGATGGATCCGTTAATGAGCAGTTTCAGAATCGTGTTGAATAGAGCGATTCCCCATTGCGGACTACGTGAATTGTTCCGTAATTTTTCCTGAATATTTCCCTCCGTGACCCCTAATTTTTCTAATAATCTCCAAAGGCAGAAAATTCCCATTATAATCTCAACCCCTCTCGTCGCACGACAGTATTAATCAATAAATTATCTCAAAAGCTACCGTAATTACCCCGTGAAAGTGATCTCAGCTAAAGAAGAGGAAAAAAATGGATTCTCAAAGAAGGCCAAAGTTCCACTAGAAAATCTGGCTTCATTATACCGTGCCCCGGGCATAATTGAGTCTCTCGAGTCGAGCGATAAAACCCGTAATTTGAGGATAAGCATCGAAGACATTTTTTTTCCTCACTTGTAAACTCGATACGACAGTGAGATTAATCTAGCTCATTCGGGTATTCAGTTTATGCGACGAACGTCGAGCATTTCGATCAGCCAATTTCCGCATTGCAATTAAATGAATTGTAACTTGTAATGAGTTTATTTCAACTGCCCATTAACCATACCCATGCATATAGATTTAATTTAATTAATTCGAGCGTCAGTTTGAAGCAGTGGACGTTTAACATGGATATCATCGGTATCAGGGACACTCATCCAAATGGATTTTCATTTCAATTAGTTGATACAAATGAAATGTTTCGTAACGCATGCATTTGTGGATGAGTTGCACGAAAAATGGGATATAATTTTAATGAAAACTGGGGGACGCTAATTACCTGTATTATGCGCAGGATGAGCGTTGTATTTTGATAGTCATATTCAAGACTAAAGTGTATTTGTCCAACGTTTTCGCTGGGCTCGGTATTGTCGATGTACATATCCACGAGTGAGATTGATCTACTCTGTAAAAATGCTTTCTGCAAACAGAAAAATACAAATGGAACTCAGTTAGGTTTTTTTCTGATGGCTTTCACAGGGGTAACGTTTTTTTTGTGATGAAATGTACACGTGTTTCCATTTTCTACTCTTCAGGTTTTGTTTTGGGGTTTTAATGGGAGACAAGGCTACGCAATCGAATCCGAAATATTGGTTAGATCGGGGGAGACGATTTTTTCTCGTTTGAGAGGCTGATGAAATTAAATGCGGTGAAATGGGATAGTTCACTGTTTCTTCAGGGATACAACTCAAAATATATTATAATTTAAGTCACGGGGATTTTTTTATTTGTTTCGAAATTTTTTTGAAAAATAAAACAACTTGAAACTCGTCAATTGCTTGAACAAACATGTTTTTAATTCGGAAGGATTTGTCTCTTCTGTGGATAGACACTCGCAAAAATTTAGAAAAACAGATGCTGGAGATAAAGGGAATTGAAATGCGTCAAGGATTTTAGCGGACACAAAGAAGTTGTTTTATATTAATTCAATTGAATGTCGCATTCTCCAACTTCCACTGAATCGGAAATATTATTTCTTCTACTACAAACGAATTTCGTTGTGTTTGAGAACTCGAGTTGAGATTAAGCAGGTTTTTTTAATCTACTGGGGCAGAATGGATCATAAGTTCTGCGATTTTTAAATAAATTTTCCGGTTTATTCACGAAAAAACTCTAAAACTCGTCTATTTCTCAAATAAACATCTTTTAAGGTCCGGAGAGTTTGTCACTTCTGTTTCCAGACGCTCGCAAAAATGGTGAAGAGAAAATAATGGAGATAAATTGGATTGAAGGGCTTGAATGATTGTAGCAGCCAGAAAAGACATTTTATTGATTCATGTGAAACTAGAATTTCCCAATTGTCACTCCCAGTCACAACAAGAATTGGAAATATTACTTGAAATATTACTTGAATTCATTTGAAACTGTAATTTTTCGTCTAGCACTTCAATCGCAACAAAAATCCACCACAAGAATTGGAAATATTATTTTTTGTTCGCTACAAACGAATTTTTTCAATTTGCGGACTCGACTGCAAATTACCCAATATTTTTTAATTCATAGGGGCAGGATGGGTCACAATTTTTTCGATTTTTAATTAAATTTTCCTGAGCAATCGATGGAATAACTTTCAAAATTACAATTTCGCAACGAAAAATATCTTTAGTTCGATAAAAATTCTCTCCTCTATATACAGACACCCGCAAAAATGTTGAAAACCCGGTAATGGCGATGAATTGAATATAAAAGCTCCAACGATTGTACCATCCACAAAAGAAAAGTTTGACTTGAATTCATTTGAAACTGTAATTTTTCGTCTAGCACTTCAATCGCCACAAAAATCCAATTTACATCACTTTATCAAGTTCCCCGGAGTCCCCTAATGATATTAAAAAATCCAACAACTTTTCTCCTCAGAGTATAACAAAGTTGCCCATGTTTTCTTTCACCGAGTAATAATTCCGTGTAATAGTTTACCGAGGGATGGTCTCCTTTAACGTTCGCCAGCTGCTTATTTTGTGGTCCAGCAGTTGGAGTGCGCGGTTCACCACCCCCACCGACTCCACTGCCACCTCCGGCGCCGCCAGTACCGCCGCTTCCCCCGGCCGGTGATTTGCTACCAGGATTTCCAGTCGTTCTGTAAAAACAAAAATAACCCCGAAATGTCAGTCTGCTGACCTTGCCAACATCTACACACGAATTCACAGACTCGTGTCACAGTGAATCAATACAGAATAGATTAATATTGACATGTGCCGAAAAATAGACATCAATGTAGACAAATGTACATGTAGAAAATAGAGGAGAACACATTTTTAATTGAAAATTGTCTACAGTTTGACATGAAAAATAGAATAGAGTCGTTATTTTGGGGATTCAAATGCAGTAGCTGTTGACAGTTGTGTAAACACTGCTGTAATTTTGGGGGCGATACAGAGTGAGATGTGTGCAACATATTAGCCACCCGCCCCCATCCAATAGGGATCTAATAATCTATCAAACGCCGTGAGCGCACGTGCCTATAACTATAACCAAATCAGCCATGAACTCGACAGCGTCAACTTCATCGATGGATTTAATTGGTTATTATGGTTGACGACGTAACCGCAATACATTCACCTATCAATCGATAATTATCGAGCAGCCTTTATCCATGATTCAACCCAAGGGAATGTTTACTAAAAATTGAAATATGAAAATGGAATACGTGAAAATGGAGGGGTGTGGAAGAAATCATTTTGTTGAAGGTCAACAACAACATTTGATATTTTACTTCAAGACTTTGTCTACTGAAATTGCAATCTCCAGAGTCTAGTTACATAATGTGCAGATGGAGTTCTTGTCCATAATTGAAACCGTCTCAATGGCGCATTGTGCAATCCGAATTGCACATTGAAGAATTCAAAATTGTAAATGCTTTATTTATTGTTCAAAATACCAAATGTTGAGGAATGAAGAGTCTTTGTTGTGTGTAATCCGCTGAATTTTTATAAACACTTGATTGTTGCGACTGTATTGTTATGAGTCATGGTTAAAATCCTTTTTTCCCAGTGACACTTGGAAATTTTGCGATAATTCAGTAGTGAAGTGGTAAAACGGTTCAAGTCAACTTATCTCCCAGTTGAGTTTTTGAGGAATATTTCCGAATCTAAGGGAGATAGCGAAATTTTCGTAATTATATTTATTGTAGGCCTCAATCGGCTCTACAAAAAAGGTTATAATAAAAATTTTGGTATCTCTCTTAGATTCCAAGATATTCATTGAAAATTGGCCAATAGTCAAAATTGACTTGAACCGCTTTATCACTTCGCTACTGAAATAATTCCTGTACTCAATTTTCCTATTAAATTAATAGCCAAACGTGAATTTTGAATATTCAGTGAGGTTGTTGGACTAACTGTGAAACTAATTGTGAAAATCAGGCGTTAAATTCAATTAAAGTCTCAATGGATTGTCTACAAAGCAAGAGTTGCGTCAATCATTTTTATCGGCGGCAAGGAATTAATTAAAAATATTTAGACAAAACTGGAAATCTGAATTTCATTGAAGATTGAAGGAATTAAATTTTCCGAAATAACAGAAATCATGAAAATTTCATGAAGATTAGCCGTTACAAGCTTCAAGATTATTCACTGAAAATTTCAACAAGTTTCTAGCAGCGAATGTTAAGTGTACAATGAGGAAATTGAGAGGGAAATCTGGGGCGAATGGAAAGCTGGAGTGTCCGTCATTACCCCAGCTTCACTGCTGACACAAAGTGAGAGGATGGATAAGATCACGTGATAAATAGCGAGCCCATTGAAACCAGCCGGTGCAATGGCAAACGTGCTCACTCCCGTCAGTTCTGCCAATATTTTTTGTCGGGGCGTCTTGCTTGAAATTGAAGATGTATGTCACGGTTATACCTCCTGGGCTATTCGCGATCACGTGGGGGCCGAAGGGACTTTCAGAATGGATAATTGTTTTTTATACTGTAGAAACTAGCGTCTAAAAACGTTAAGACGTTTCATAGACAGGAAATTTTCATAATTTAAGACATTTTTTCTGTCTCAGTTCAAGACACTTGAGGACATTAACAACATTAAGAGATCGAATTATAAGACGTTTTGGAAGACAAGTATTTGGAAAAGCAAAAGAGGCATTGTAAGTTTAAAACTAAAAATGCTCTAGTAAAACCCCTTGAATTTCCGGAATACAGGTCTTAATGTATAAATTTGAGACTCTAAAAATCACTTGAATTTGGGGAAAAAGTGTCTTAATTTTAGACATTAGTTTTTCTACTGGCAACAGCTAGATTCTGATGTAAGGAATATTTACTAAAGACATTAAAGGAATTAGTAACGTGAATGATTGATGCAGCAATTGGAATAAAATTATTAAAACTATTAAATGACTTGAACTTGAGGAAAAACGTGTCTTAATTTTCGACAATAATTTTTTTACTGGCACCAGCTAAATTCTGATGTAAGGAGTAATGAAAGTTGTTAAAGGAATTAGAAATGTGAATAATCAATGCAACAATTGGAATAAAATTATTAAAATTATTGAATGACTTGAAATTGAGGAAAAACGTGTCTTAATTTCTGACAATAATTTTTCTACTGGCACCAGCTGAATTCTGATGTAAGGAGTAATGAAAGATGTTAAAGGAACTAGATGTGAATGATTGATTTAACAATTGGAATAAAATTATCAACCCCAAGTTCCTGAATACCAAAGTTACTACCTGAACAATCCCCAGAATATCTGAAAATCCGTCAAAACTTTTTGCGTCTAGCGCAGTCGATTGGCTGTTCCACATCTGACGGAACGCAACTTCATTTATTACCGCTTGAACACCAACATTTCCATTTCCCCCACTTCCTGCCCCACCGACATTCGCCCTCGACGAAGTTACCGAAGAGCGAAGAACATTCCCAAAGTTCTCAAGTTTCTACGTAGTTATCACAAATTATCGTTTCATAATGTTTGCAAGTGGTACAGAAATACGTGCGTCAGAACACTGTGAGACAGATACATGGAGCATTCGGAACAATAGTCGTCAGTCAAACAGTGGAGAGTACACTCACACATACACACATATATCACGGACGAGGTGCAAATATAGACAAAAATTTAGTGTGACGTCATTTTTGTGAGACGTGCAAACGTGCATTCCATGCAGAGAGGATCCTTAAGATGCTTTCTGAATGTGTAAAATAGACAAAACAGTTTTTCTCGGGATATTTCTCAAGTCGTAAAACGTTTACACTCATACACTGATTTACATTTATCGGTTTTATACCGATTTTTATCTCTGTGCAGTCACGATATCCAATGGATTTTCGTTATGGAATCCAATGGAATTTTCATTGCATTGGAATCCATTCTGAAAAGATACTGACTATTCTGTAGAAATTTACGAGAACATTGTTTTTGTACACTGTTAGAAAACAATTGAAATTTCATGGGCAGTTGAATAGAAATTTCCAGGAGTGTGACGCTCCATTTAGGGGGGGAAATCATTTAATTTGAGACTTCAGTGCATTCAGTGAGATTCAGTGCATTTGACAATTTGATGGCATTAAAAATTTGTAGCAAGAGGAACACGAGAGCTTTTCAATTCACTTGAAGTTTTAATTAAAACATGAACATTTAATACTAAATTACACTGAATTTTCTCATTATCCAAGAATTTATTTCCATGACATGATGGAAGTAAAATTTACTGTTTCATCGATTTCTCCATAAAATTTCGAACTCTTAATAACGAAATTCACGGACAGTTGGATAGAAATTTCCAGGAGTGTGACGCTCCATTTACGGGGGAAAATAATCTAATTTAAGATTTCAGTGACAATTTGATGGAATTAAAAATTTTTAGCGAGAGGAAGACGAGTTTTTCAATTCACTTGAATTCTTAATTAAAACATGAACATTTGATACTAAATTACACTGAATTTTCTCATTATCCAAGAATTTATTTCCATGACATGATGGAAGTTAGATTTATTGTTTTCATCGATTTCTTCATAAAATTGCGAACTTTTAATAACGAAATTCACGGACAGTTGGATAGGAATTTCCAGGAGTGTGACGCTCCATTTACGGGGGAAAATAATCTAATTTAAGATTTCAGTGACGATTTGGTGGAATTGAAATTTTTTTGGCGAGAGGAAGACGAGTTCTTCAATTCACTTGAATTCTTAATTAAAACATGAACATTTAATATTAAATTACACTGAATTTTCTCATTATCCAAGAATTTATTTCCATGACATGATGGAAGTTAAATTTATTGTTTTCATCGATTTCTCCCTAAAATTTCGAACTTCTAATAACGAAATTCCTTATAATTTCATTCAATAATTTTCAACAGTGCATTTGTTAATTTTCATGTCCCCGAAATATCTACAGATTTTGACACATAAAGTCCAACACATTATTATTCCAACAATAACAACAGTGATATAATAATAAAAACGTGAAACACAATTTTCTCTGTGCTGTAATTAACATTGTACACAGTCTGATGATTAATACGCAGTTGTACTTACTCTAACTGCGCCCTGCAGATTATTCCCCCAACATAGCGATGCCATGAAACAGAAAATTAAAGCGAAGAAAGCAGCATTAGTTAAAACAGTGTCACACAGATAATCTTCATTTTTAAAATGGAAAAAAACGCTCATCTCCGTTGGATAAAATAGCGTAAAACGATGTTATATCGACTGCGCTGGAAAATAAGCGATTGAAAATGAGAAATTGCTATTTCCCTGAGGTATGACAGGAGCATTCATTCTTCCCGTTGTTATTCTATTCTAGTTAACTGGGGGTCTTGTGTCCACTCAAACTTTTCTCGTTTCACTAAATCCCAATCTCTCGACTCAGCGAAGATGTAACTCGCAGATAGACATCCTGTATCTGTTATGTTGACCGAAGTCGATGGAATTGGGGGGGGGGCGGTAGCACCGGAGAACTATAACCTAGTCTACTATCTTCTTGAGTGTCCTATAAATGTAAATCGTTACCAATAATTGTACAAGTTGGCTCTGAGTGGTGTGATAAATCCCGAGAACTGCGCTTGCAATTCATGAGTGTTCGTAATCGCTTTAGAGATTTTTAGTGGAGAAAATCGACGGTGGGATTATGAAGTACAAGGAGCCGTTTCCGGTTTGATGCTGAGAGTTCTCAAATGGGATTTTTTATTAGAGATGTTTAAGGTGTTTTTTAATTTAGTTAATTGGATTGAGAGAGGAAAGTTTTTGTCGCTTTTCAACATTTGTTCATGAATGGATTTGACAGAATCATTATATCTAAGACGGAGACATTAATCTCTGAATAATGGGATTTTTGCGTTGAATTTATTTTGAAATTAAAACATTATAAAATAAGCGGTAATTTAGATTTTTAATTTCATTTTTTATTCTAAATTATAATTGTAATTTAAAGTGATAATTTAATAATTTAAAATTGATGAGAACTATTTCCAAGTGACTTCTTGAAAATTTAACTTTCTGCGGAGGTCTGGTATTATTTTAGATTCTTAAAAAGTTTTTCAATATTTATAAACAAATTTAGACTTTCGATGTTTGAATAGGCAATTAAATACAAATTCAGGACTATATTTACCCAAATTTTCATGTTTTCATTAATTTTTGTGGAATAATTCAACTGAAATTCATAATTTTCTGGACGTTTTTCATCGAAATGTTAATTTTAGCTTCAAACTCCATTGGAATGAGAGGAAATTTTACTTATTTCTAGAATTTTTTACTCGTTAGATTTCAAAAAATGTTTAAAAATCACAAAAATTTTGAATTAAAAAGAAAGGGAATAAAAAAAATCCGATTTTTGCAAAAAATTGAAAACTTTTCTTTTCCCCACTCACTTTAAATCAATCCACACTTCAGTTAATGATCCCCACCCGATAAATACCCAATAATTCACACCGTTCGCCCCTACAAATTATCCCCTCGAATCCACCACTCAAACCCAAGACAACCCCAACAATTTCAAATTCTCCTCTCGTCCCCACAAACTCGATGCTCCTCATTTACTTCCCTCCCATTTCCCGTCTTCACCCTCGCCGACTTCAGTTGGCTTTTTCCCCTCGCCAACCGAGAATAATGGTACCATGCTTGGGTAATTGCACTCAGCGTATAACGAGGAACGAAGTTCATCGGAGGTTGGCTTGCATCAAGATCGAGTTTCGACTATGAATACAAACATCGAAAACCTCCAAAGCAAAAACATCTCACGAGAAATTATTAGTTTTTGCTTTCTCGTGTAATTGGGTCAGGCGTTTTGGCTTTAATTGAACGAAACAACCAACACTCTTCCGTAACGCATACTTTCCTCAATGAAGAAAGAAAAAAAACGATCAAATTTTGAATTCAAGGCGTTTTTTATTCATCAAGGAAAACAGAGGAAGAATAAAATCTCAAAGGACTCTTGCTACATAAATTTTATAATGTACTAAAAGTCTAATGCAAGCGACGATGCGTTTAAGGTCAATAGTCAGCGTCAAAGTGGCCTCAACGGACCCAATAGTGAAAAAAAAGCATTTTTTTAATTCTTTCAACTTTTTTTAGACTTCTGAAAATTTCTCAAAGATTCTGAATAGAAAAAATTAATTTAGACCTTCAGGGTTTGAATAACGAATTAATTAGAAATTCAAGAATATACTCACAAGAATTTTCTTCATTTCTATTAATTTTCATGGAATAATCGAAATGAAATTGACAGTTTTCATTGATTTCTTCAAATAAAAACAACAAAATCGAAAATATCTGTGAATTAAAAACATTTAGTTTGATTTTAATAAAAAAATTTCTTGGAACAAGTGAAAATTTCGGAGAATCTTACTGAAAACAGAAATAGACAAAAAATAGAAAACAGAAATGAAAGAATTACTGAATCCCGGTGTTTTTTATTCACCAATGAAAACAGAGGAAGAATAAAATCTCAAACGAGTTTTGCAAAATAAATTTAATACTGTATAAAAAATCTATCGCAAGCGACGATGCGTTTAAGGTCAATAGTCAGCGTCAAAGTGGCCTCAGAGGACTCAATAATAAAATAAAAAATCTTAGTTCAATATATCCGTTAAAATCACGTATGACTTGGCACGTAAAGTGTAATGGAACACTGGAGCACGCGCGTTGTCCGTGGTGCCCCACAGGTGGCACACATGTGCCATCGAAATACCAAATGATCCTTGGGAACGTGTGACTCGACCCAGTGTCACCTCGGCTTTAATACCAACTGCGTAGGCGACACAGAATCCAACCGAATAACAGAGAACAAGAGGCCAAGATGGCTGTTCAATCACTCGCTGACCGTGAAACGTAATTCTCAGTGGTCTACGTGAATCGTAGCGATATCACGAGTGGGTTTATGGTTAGCATTGCCGATTGGAGGGGGTTTGTGTGCGGGGTACACATGGCAGAGCGATTAGGCACGTCAAAGATCAATTTCACCCCTTGAAATTGGAGCTCTGTCGGCTTATTGATCTCTGTTTGCTTCTAAATCCCTTAGTTTGAGACAAATTGTTTGGCTTGGGATGGACTGCATGGATATACAATGTTGACTTTGAAATGTCAAACAATTACTCGGAAATTTGGAGTAGAAAATCTCGGAATCATTGCACTATTAGAAATTTTCGATGTCGTGAAGTTGACTTCAATTTGAAATGAAAGCGTTCACTAAATTTCGCATTCATCTTGAAAATTCAAGAAAATTGGGGTTTTCGTGTTAAACAATCATTGATTTTTCAATGAAAGCTTGAATTCTTAAACTCGTCGGGAAAATTGAACATCACGTGCAATTGAATTTTCAGTAGATTGAGAATTCAGAAAAATCGATGCTTGAATTTTACAAATTTTCAAGGTTTTGCAGGGCCGAATGGACCTGAAAATCGATATTTACTTGAATATTCGGAAATTAACTGATTTCTCAATGAAGAAATATACAGATTTCATGTAACTTTGTCGTTGTTAAAAATTTAACGAGAAACAGAAAAAGAAAAATTTCTAACAGTCTATGAAATGGACTCATATCGTACATATTTTTTACTAAAAATAAAAGTCATCGTGAATTTTAAAGTTCAACGGAATTTCAATTTTTCCAGCAGCAAGAAAATGAGAATTCCCCAACTTGTTTGAATCTTTAATCAAAACATCTATATTCGGTGCCACATTAGGCTGAATTCCCAGTCAATTAAAATTTCAAGAACATACGTGAATTTTTCATGTTTTCATTCATTCTCAAGAAATAGTTGACCTGAAATTTCGATTTTTCACGGATTTTTTCATAAAATTGTGAATTTTTAAAGACGAAATTCCTTAAAATTTCAGGAGAATTGTAGTTTGATAAAAAATTTCAAGAAGTGATGAATAGAAAATTGTTTTTGTTTATTCACAACAGACATCCGCCTGAATAAACGAATTATTACTGTAATATTATTTCCCATTATTCAATTATGGATTTGAAGTCCTCAGACATGAAAAGAGAATTTCGAGGGACAGTGAGCCATTGACGTGTCATTTCCTCTGTGTCCTCCGTCAACCGGGTAAGCTCAGACCCAGGTGTGGACTTTTGCCGTAGTGACCGGGGGAATAGGGAAACACAGTTGGTATCCGTCGACATTCGACCGTGTTTGTACGTACTCGTCCAGCCGGATATTACCTCCGGCAGTTGACTACACCAGTAAACCCCGTTCAATCGGTATAGCTGTTGCTGTAGCTGTCACATAGGAAATATACCGGTATTTGGGATGGAGTTATATTTCCTATTTGTTTCAGCGGTGTCCAGACGTTTCGACTGACGAGTCCAATTGGATCTGACGGTTTCAGCGACAATGTCTTGTACGCAAATTTTATTGTTTGCGCAGTTTTTTGATGGGAATCGTTCAAAGCGAAGAAGAAACGGTTCATTTGAATTCAATGGACTTGATTATAATGACATAAATGAGGCTATTTCATGTTATGTTAAAGCTCATTAAAACTTGAACACAATTTGTGTTTTTATTCGCAAACGTTTATGTTTCAATTTTTAATTGAAAAGTTTTTAGTGAAATAATGATAAGGGCTTATTAGTTTAAAATTATTTCAGATATTTTTTTAAATTATTGAAAAAATTGAATTCCATCTAAATTAGTCTTCTTGAACATTTCGAGACCTTTATTTGGAATTTCGATAGTAATTTTTAAATAATGTAAACTCGTTTTAAAAATTCTTAGTTGATAAAAATGATGAAAATGGTGAAATTGGTTCTCTGCGATACTCAATGAAGGAAAATACTAGGATTTCCTATGGGATAAATCCCCTGGAAATATTGATGCATAAATAGAACTGTAGGATTGTGAAAAAAATAATCCCCGAAAGTACATCGTAAACAAAAATATCCGGAAATGCGAAAAATTCTCGCGTCGAATAACAATATTATATCATGAATGAAAATAAAAAAATCCGCTGCACTTTGTTGGCTTGATCCAACGCGGTTTTCTCATTTACAGTGGTCGGCCACTCGTGGAAACTCTTTCCCTTCATTCAAAGACCTCGCGATC